GTCTACCGTCTGTTGTCTCCCGTCTGTCCGTGTCGTCTGCCGTCTGCCGTCTCTTGTTTGTCGTCTGTCGCCTGTCGTCTGTCGCCTGTCGTCTACCGGCTATCGTCTACCGTCTACCGTCTGTCGTCTGCCGTCTCCTGCCGGAGAAGGCGTCTCAGCAGCACAGCCTGACTCGCCTCCATTCAGGTTAAAAATCAATACGCCTCTGTGCCGGCCAGCCGACCAGAAGCGGAGGCCGAGAGCGGTGACGTCACGGCCCGCTCACCTGGGCGGGCGGTGACGTCAGAGGGACAGTAGTGACGTTATAGACGCAGCACCATTGTTTGTGTGCGTCATGAGCTAGGTTTATCTTGCGGTGGATGCTCTGGAACAGCATATTAGTTACATTGGAACGATGTAATCTGTTACGCGGTTGAAACTACTCCGTTTGTTCTGTTTGCATGCAACTGCCCACGGTTGCTTGGCCACGATGTGGCCCCTGGTGGTTGGCCATTTCAGTCTTCAGATAGCCCTTCTGACACTGTGTCGTTAGCTGAGCGAGGGAGTTGAATGGCCGCGGCCTTGGACGGCTTCTTTTGTGACAGAAAGCCGTTTGAGATTCTTCGGACGCACATATGACGCATTATACACTGCTAATGATCCCATTAGGCGTGTCGTAATCTACTTACCAACTCACAAAGAGCCGGAGCTTCAAGCGGTGGGACTGGCGGGGTCGTTGTCATGGCAACGCTGTCTGTCTGTGCTCTAATCTCTGAGATCAGCTCCGACCCAGGCCAGACTGCTCCCACCCAAGATCACTTTATTGCTAGCTCTAACCCATGCTCTGGTGCACCAGTCGGAAAGTTACATGAGCTCTCAGTGACTGATACGGGACTAACACAATTGTTAGAGCGACAAAGTCCGTGCTCTGTCCCTCTTCCCTCTTCGATGACTTCGATGATTCGATGGTTCGCCCGACTTATCGGCCACCGGTGACGGTCTCCCGAGCCCCCACCTAATGTAGTCATGTGGCAATGAACCGGCCTTGGCAATGAACGGCTTCCCTTGGCCGAAGTGCCGCCAGCCGAGACATCCGACGTGAGTCATGCTTGTTGCCCTCCTACCCTTGGAGGAAAATGGCTTTTGGAACATCGAACAATGGAATGGAATGGAATTCTACGAACATCGACAGGTTCCAACACGGAGATCAATATTCAAACTTAATCAGGGCAAGTTATATCCGGTTCAGCGTTGGTGTAATTGCAGTGATTGTCTGTGTCATTTTGCGTTTTCGGCTTTGTGAAAGTATATTACAAATTATTTGAGTGGCTTAACCCGCGCCCGGCTGGGGGTCCTGGATTTCCACGCCCTGCTGGGGGGGGGGGTGTTTGAACACCCCCCCTTCTAACTCGGCTCCTGGGCCACGTAGCGATACGCGGAAGGCGGCGTTCGAAAGAGCGTCAAAAATAATGACAAAATCACTTCGGTCAATTTTTTGGTCAGGTCAAAGGTCAGGTCACCAGAGGTCATTGAAGGCAAAATGTCGCCGATTTCCAGGTCGAATGTCGACAATTTCCAAGAAGCCAACGCATAACTCGGGAACCAATAGAGCTACAGCGCCGCGGAAAAGCGCATTCGATAGCCCTATTAACGCCCTTTCTGAGTAATTCTCTCAGATTTGACCTAACGTCAACGGTTTTGCCTGCAGGGGGCAAAAACTGCAAAAATAACCGATTTTTTCGGAAACAGTTTTTCTGCAATAACTTTTGACCCAAGCCTTGTACGAGCTAACTTTTACCGGCATCGTGTTCCTCTCGTCAAGACGCATCGAATGAACTATAACTTGACCTTGAAAGGTCAACTTGAAAATTTGACCTCAGGTCAAGGTCATGACCTGACCGGAAAGGGTCATGTTGCATATCAGTCGATCCGTATCGTCGAGCTGAACACTTATAAGGCGTTTTCATCGCTCTAGCATGCTTCTATCAAAAGTTATTTGCGAAAAACTGTTAGATACCATTCGTGACCTAAGATGACCTCAGGGCATAAACAGGGGTCACGGACACCATTTTCATGTTCAGTGTGTCTAAACCACTTGTAATTCAGTGTTTGGGAGTGTTTATAATGTCTTTCGTCCCAAGGAGGCGCATTTCAATTTTCTCCCATTGACTTATAATGGGGAGGTCGCAAAATTGACCTGACCTTAGGTCATCGGTATCAAAATTCTGAGATATACATTTTGTACATGCTATTGCTCTTAGCAATCGCTGAAAGTTTCAAAGCGATCGGTCACTCGGTGTAGCTATGACAGACATTGAAACTTTTTATGAGGTGAGGTCACTTCAAGTGACCTGGTGACCTGACCTTGAATGACCTTGGTCTGAAATTTTCACAACATGTGTAGAATTGATGTATGATAAGGTGTACCAAAAACGGCGGCGCTCCGCGCCGCCGTTATTGAGATATTCGCGAAAAACCACAAGGGGGGTGTTCAAACACCCCCCCCCCCCAGCAGGGCGCGGGTTAAATAGTTTGCTGGTGGAAGCACTTCTAAATCACGATGCATCACGCATCACGTAGCAACACGCCACAGTATGTGGTCTCATATAGTGAGTTGAAGGGACGGATCGCAAGGGGAGGCTGCGATATGCAGTGCCACTGAGCTGTCTCGCACATCCAGGGTAATGAGGCGTGTCTTATTCGATGCGCCGCAGTGCCGAATGCAGATGACGAGCGAACGCCATCGTCGCAGCCGGGTTGTGGTGTGACCCAGCCTCTACGGACTTGATTGGATTAGCGAATGTGGCTTAGCCAACTTAGTCGAACTTTTTATTGAGGTGTTATCGAAATAGGACGGTGGGTTACAAGCGCCTTATGAGAAACGTCTGTGTCGTCGTGTCGCTGATTCCCAATGCTGGAGCAGTCGTGGCAGCAGTGGAAAACTTTCCGTAATGAATAGCGGTGAAACGGTTTTAACAGGAGAGTAAAACCCAAAATCAATTTATGGGTAATTACTGTTCATGCAGTTTAATTCGAAAGAAAACATTACAATTTGTTGAATTCAGTTGAAGTTTGATGTTACGTTGGGTATTTCAGGTCATTTCAATGTGTGAGGCCTTACATCATTCCATCGATGATCGAACTCTTTTGATGGGCGTTCGCTGAAAAATGTCTGTTCGTTTGGAACTTCGAGTTCCAAAGAATGTGCGTCCGCTTGTGATTGGCCTGAAAACTTTTTGTTGCCTCAGCAGCCATCAAACCAAGATGATTTGTGGCCAGTCGTGCAATCAAAAACTCATATCTGCGCGTCTATAAATTGGCTCTGATCTTTACATTTCCTGAAAGAAATTGTTGGGCGGGTATCTCTGACTAGCTTTGCCGGTGGGTTTGAAACATTCGATATACATGATGAGGCTTACATGATGATAAACATTCGGTGAGGCTTAATAACGTAATTTTTTATTTCACGTCTCTTGAAGGATTTCATGAAAATAATCAATGAGCACATAATTGCAATATAAAACATAATCAAAGTAGCAAGACACCTATTATTTTAATATGCGTTACGGGCGGGCGGTCGATGCGGGCGGTTTTCTTTTTTTCCGTCGTTTGCGGTGTTAAATTTGTTTGCGGTTGGCGGCCGCGTATTCGTTTTTTGCGGCGTTTGCTTTTGGCGGCGGGCGGGCGATTTTTAGGCGTTTTCGGTTGGCAATTAGCGGGCGTGCGATGCGGGCGGTTTTATTTTTTGCGGCGTTTGCGGTGTTAAACTTGTTTGCGGTTGGCGGCCGCTTTTTCGTTTTTTTTTTGCGTTGTTTGCTTTTGGTGGCGGGCAGGCGATTTTTAGGCGTTTTTGGTTGGTGGTTAGCGGGCGTGCGATGTGGGCGGTTTTATTGTTTTGCGGCGTTTTTGCGTTTCTTTTTTATTTGCGGTTTGCGGCGGGCGGGCGTTTGTTTATTTTTGCGACGTTTGCGTTGGCGTTTCGGGCGTGCGTTTTGCGCGTTTTGCGGTGTTTGCGTTTTGCGGCGGGTGGGCGTTTTTCACAATTCAAAGTCCAAACCTTCGGGCCACAGCGCTCCCCGAAAGCGCTGAGTAATCAAAGTAGCAAGACACACACCTATTATTTCAATATGCGTTACACCTGACGCGGCATTTCAAATCCAAAACACCTTACCTCAATTCTGTGCCCTGAACACACTGACATGGAAGGACGTACCATTGTCAAACACAAGGTAAACGATTTTTACAGCGCGCTGCATGTTTCCTTTTCAACGGAAACCTCCGGTCTTCGACGACACTGAGGCGATGGATTAAAAGATGGCGCCGCGAAAGAGATGCAGTCCCGTCGATGTCGGCGATGGTTAAAGTGGCGTGGCGAGTTGGGGACGGGGGCTGAAGCTAGTGTTTACAGTGGCAGCTTACCGAGAACAAACCACCAATGCTGATCTAACGCCATTTTGGTTTCTCCGGCCCAGCGCAGAGTGCAGCCGTTACGCCGGTCTGACACACTCATGGCCGGCCTGGCAGCGGTAATGGATGACGCTTTTTGCGGCAACGCAGTGAAATGAGCCGTGCAGCACGACGCCTGCGTCCCAGATGGAGCTCGGGTGCTGGGCTGTTTTCGGCACGGGTCACTCGTGATTGGAAAACAATGTTAGATCGCTGATGAGATGACGTTCATTGACGATGTTATCGGTTCGTCTGCCGCATCGCTGACTCTCAGGGTCACTGTAACGTGCTCCTCTTCTGTCGCGCCGTCGATGACCCCTCTGCCCTCTTCTGCGCCCTTGCGCCCTTGATAAACCTTTCTGTATCTCTGTTTCTCTCTTTATCTTACCTCTCTTTCTCTCTCTCTCTCTCTCTCTCTCTCTCTCTCTCTCTCTCTCTCTCTCTCTCTCTCTCTCTCTCTCTCTCTCTCTCTCTCTCTCTCTCTCTCTTTCTCTCATCTCTCTTCCTTTGCACCTCGATGACCCCTCACCCTCCCCTCTGTACCCTCGCTGACCCCTCTCTCCCCTCTGCCGCAGATTTCGGCGCTGGTGAACGCCTCGGAGCGGAGTGAGCGATCGCCGCTGCGCTCCGAGCAGCGCGCGGCCGTGCAGAGGGTCGGCCAGGCCGTCAGTCTGGCCGTCGAGCGGTTTGTCACCGTCGGCGAGACCATCGGCGACGACAACCCCGAGATCAAGGTCGACATGTACGAGGCGTGCAAGGAGGCCCGGGCGGCAGGTGGGTCAACGTCGCACCGCACCGTGTCTGTCGCCAGTGCAGCGCGGCGAAGGGTTGAGAAAACAAGTCCTTTCGTTTTTTTTTTTGCGATGGCTGTCGTGAATTTCAATACACCTAAAGATGTTTATAGATATCTTCCTTTTCGAAGAAAATGCAGGATCTTCCAGGCGGATGGTGGCGCAGATAATCGGCATATCCCATATGATCTGAGTGATTTTGCAATACCAAACTCCGAGTTGAATGATTGATCTTAACAACGACATCGTTTGTTGCGGCGCTCCGGATTGTACAGGAACCACCGTCAACACTTGTTTCGAATTCAACAGAATCTGCCGTATTCCATGACTCTTATTTCGCTGTCCTGAAATGGAGAAAGTGTGTAAGGCTGCACTCTATCCTCCGCTTCATATGCTACTTCCTGAACGATCGGATGTTGGCCCATTGGCGCGCCTCGTGTATTCCCCTCAGGGAGGCTTGTCCACTTGTAAATACGAATCATGCATCGCGAGAGGCATGCCCATTGCGTCGGACGCATCCAATCTAGAGGTCGCGCGCCGACCCAGATGCGTCATTCCGCCGCATCAGTCCCTGATGTAGCGATGTTGTGACCACTCACTCTGATCTGCCCTCCTGGGGGTGATCGCATATTCCCAGGGTGTGAATGGCATACGTCCTGTCGGACAGCATAAGATGTTGACGGTGCAGGCAGAGAGGGTGCCTTCATGGGTCAATGAGTATTCCATTGACCCATGCGAATGTGACTTGATAACCAAGAAATTTATGGCAACATTTGATTGTCAAGTTTATAAAAGGTTCTACTTTTCTCTCTTTTTATTCGTGCTTAAAACTGAAAAGTGTTAACTTCTTAGTGTGGGAAACATAGCTCATCGAACGAATTCAATGAATTGACATCGACTTGACAGCACTGCAAATTTGCTTTTAACTTCAACATGAGCGCAAACCATGTACATTGTAACGACATTTTGTGTGGTGTCTGTACATAATTTACAGTACATATGTGTGTGGGCAGAAACACTGAAAACAATTTAACCCAAGGCTGGCGAGTAAACCGGTGTTTTACGGGTACCCCTATCCGCAACCATTTTTAACCACCCTCCCAGGAGTAGTGCTAGGTCCCATTGCGGTGTAGTCGTACTTGCTCTGAGCGGATATAACCGCTGTCAGCGAACAAGTCCGCTGAGAGCAGGGACGACTACACTGCAATGGGACCTTACTGTACTCCTGGGAGGGTGGTTAAAAATGGTTGCGGATAGGGGTACCCGCAAAACACCGGTTTACTCGCGGGCCTTGGGTTAAATTGTTTTCAGTGAAGGATATATTTACCGTTACACCATTAACATTTAACATGTATAAATGACAAAATGTGTCACTGCGATAACAGTTTACAAACAAATCATGATGCTTCGTTTAGAAACGACAGCAAATGAGTCATCAAATGACTCTCATCGCCTTATTGCTCTGGCAAAGACTCAAGCTTGGATAGTGGCTCAATATCCGCCATGGCACAAGGCGGCAGTTAAGTGACCTCATATCCGGTGATTTTTCAAGCAATTTGACCGACTTCATAAGACGGTCAATGTCATATGGCATTGACCCGTGACCGCCTGCCTCCTCCCTCACAAGCTCTAAAGAGAAGACGTCCAGGCTGTGACACGGGTCTTTCCATACCCATAACACACTGTAAGGGGGGGTACTTCTCATAATGAAATAATAGCAGCCTTCGTTTGGATGCAATTTACATGAGCTTTAAACGATATCACGTAATTGTGCATCTCGTTTGTGCCTTTGTTTAGGATCCTTACTTTACATTTTTACGTCTTCCTGAGAGGATGATAATTAGATGGGTATCCATCCAGCTTATTTGGAAACACTTCAGCCAGTGCATGTCTTGAACGAAAACTGGCTAACACTGAGCTAACCAGTCAACTTTCGAAAGTTTTTTTTTCTTCTTGTTTCTGACACAAGAGGCATCGCAGCTTATCGGCTTGCTAAAGGGTTTGAGTATTCCGATGCTTTGGGGTAAAGCCTGTCTTCACTCAGCAGAGAGTGTCCATTGACTTGGAATTTGATTTCAAATATTTTTTTTGTGTATTTCAACTGAATGATTTGTTTTAGTGATTACAATTAACTTTTTTTTTTACAAACAACAGCTCCCTTCAACACAAAAGTGTCCTTTCTTCAGTCCTGGACCTGACTGTTTGCGCTCTTTTTCAGGGTCGGCCATTGAGAAGCTGTGCGCGCTGCAGGCCGAGGCGAAGAGCACGGACCGGGCGACTCTGGTTCGCGCCGCGCGCTGTCTCCTCTCCAGCGTCACCAAGGTGCTCCTACTCGCAGACACCGTGGTGGTCAAACAGCTGATCCTCTCCAAGGACAAGGTCAGTCAGTCGGCCCACCCAGCATCCCATCCATAGGCAATAATGGTGGATATTTCCTTGGCTTCCGACCGAAGGTTGCTGGTCGCAAAGTGACTCCGATCTACGGCGGGTCAAATGTCACAGTTAACGCGTTGTGAACATCAGGGCTACCCAGGCTTACACCTAACGGACCGGCCTTCTCACGTTCAGTGCTAGTCAGGGTCAATGTCACGCACCATCATTTTGCTGGCTGCCTCCCGCGCAGTCGCCCTCTGAGGTGAAGCCAAAGCTAATGGAGGGTAGTTGCTCTATCCGAGTCATTACCAGAACGCCTTCGGCCAGTGCTGGTTCTGCAGAGTCGCAGAGGCAGGGCCGGTATGGTTCGGCAAACTGGGAGAATCACAGGAGAGCGGGAAAAGTGAGAGAGGATGAGGAATGTAGAGGAAGTGGGAAAGTAAAAAAAAGGTTTCGCCGGCCCTGTGCAACGAGCAGCACGGTTTTATTCCTAGGCGGTCCTGTATTACTAACCTAACCGTTTATCTTAAGTCAGCGTGGGAGGCCATATCGGGCGGATATCAGACGGACACTATATATACAGACTATTCGGCAGCTTTTCAAAGTGTGAATCATTCCCTTCTAATTCACAAACTAAAACACTCCTTCAAATTGGAGGAGTCTGCTTTACAATGGTTCGTCTCATATCTGTCCGATAGGCGTCAGAGGGTCATCGTGAACGGAAAAACGTCCAAATGGACGGCAGTACTATCCGGTGTTCCCGAAGGATCCCTTTTGGCTCCGCTACTTTTTTCTTTGTTCATCAATGATTTACCGCGAGAAGTCGATTCCGGGTGCCTTCTGTACGCCGACGACGTCAAAATTTTCGAAAAATTGTCTCGCCATCTGACGGACTACTGCTCCAGCAGGACCTTGGTCGTCTGGCGGCCTGGTCCGTCAGATGGGGACTCACCCTAAACCCCAGCAAATGCAAATCGTTCACGATCACCCTCAGGCGCGCACCCGTCCGGACAGAGTATTTTATCAACGCCACTAAACTCGAGCATATTGGAGAGATACGTGACCTGGGTATCATTTTAGACACCAAGCTTACATTTGCTGCTCATGTGAACAGCATTGTTAGCAGAGCAAACCGAAGTCTGGGCCTGTTGTTTCGATCCTTTCAAACAGGTGAGAAGGGAAGCAAATTTCATCGCAAGGCACTTTTGTGTGCTTACTTCTCCAGTGTACGCTTGATTTTAGAATATGGCAGTGTGATATGGGCGGGTGCGGCTGACACCCACACAGTGCGGGTCGACCGAGTGCAACACAAATTTCTAATATGGCTTTTATCAAACACGCACTCCGGACATTCCATTTCTCTGGATTACAGTGCTTTACTAAATCACTTCCGGATACAGTCATTGGCTTCACGTCGAATTCAGCATGATCTGATTTTCATCAGAAACGTGTTTCATGGGAGACACGACTGCTGCCACATATTAAACAGCTTTGCACTGCACATACCCACTCGGTCGACCCGCACACAGAAACTGTTTTATGAGCCCCGTGCACGTGTCAACACCGTGAAGCGTGGTTTATTCAACAGGGTACCATGTCTAGTCAATTCGTTTTTATGCAGTGTTCCAGGGGCAGATTTTTTTACCGATGCCACTGGGACTTTTAAATCTCATGTTTTGAAGTATATATCATCTTTTTAAAGTCATAGAGCCTTTTTACAAGCTCGTTTTTTTTAGATTCATCTTAACCCACATATTTTTGTGCTTTATATTTTTAGCTATATTTATCGTAATATTTACCTACTGTTTACTCTGAATTGTTTGCCCGTATGTCATTGTTTATCATGTATAGTGTTAGTTTGACTTCGCCTGTCAGTGGGGGTCCGCCCTGTTGGTGATCACTTGAATAAATAAATAGATAAATAAATAAAGTAGAGAAGGAATGAGGAGGGAAGCCGGAAAAGGGCAAAAAGGATGATAGATGCCCACTTACTCTGATACGGAGTTGATGACGCACACGCATGTAGAGGATGAGGGAAATAGATGAGAGAGAGAGAGAGAGAGAGAGAGAGAGAGAGAGAGAGAGAGAGAGAGGGTGAGAGAGAGAGGGAGAGAGAGAAAGAGAGAGGGAGAGAGAGGGAGAGAAAAGCAGAAAAGAGAAAACAGATCCAATGAGGAAGAAAGAGAAAACAGATCCAATGAGGAAGCAGAGGGAGAAAAACTTTGGGCAGTCCCTGTCGGGTCCACCAGCCGGCGGCACCCAGGCGGGTTTATCGCCCTGCGGTAGCCAGACCCTGCGCTCAGGTTCGGCCCAGTCCTGTGTGACACCGTCTCTGATTAGGTGGCCGGTCCGACTGCAGATCGTACGCTGCGGCGTGTGTCGGTCCCGTGCCGGACCGCCCCGGCTGACAGTGGCGACCCCGCCCTGAGCGAACGGCTCGAGCGTCCCGCTCCGCTGGTGTGTGCCGAACGGGGGGCGCCGCCACAAACAGAGCCGTTGGAGTCGACAGATGACGGCGGCGGCTCGTCGGCGTGAGCGAGAAAGGAGGGACGAGCGGGCTAGGGAGCTTGATAGGAGTGAGTTTTGGGTCCGTTGACGTTAGAGTGGAAAACTACTGAGATGGGGATGGTCTAAACGTTTGTTTTTTTCTTCCCCTTATGCATAGGTACATTAAAGTCAAACATATCATTCACCTGCTGTCTATTGTCCTAAATACCAGCTTTACCGTAGGGAAACTTCGCATCGGTCAATCAGAATCTTTTCTTGGATTATTCGAAGAAATCATAATTTTAACTTTACTTCAGGGCAAACAGCGAACTTAGCTTCAGCGGGTCCTTACTCTCAAGAAAACTTACCCTGAAAGAAACTTCGCACATCTTTCAATAATTCGTATTTTATCATAAAGCCTGTCCGAAAAGTTTCGGTTATTTCGAAGTCGACATGGCGGCGCCGTGCTCCTTTTTGTCTCCGGACGGGGTGGCAATATTGTCGCAGTCAGCCGGCTCCGGAGACCGGTGACATTGACCGTTAGTCACCGGCCGCCGTTTCGTTTGTGACTCCTCTGGGAGGCCCGGCGGCAGTTTTTACTGGGTCAACAGCTCTCCGGCAGCCGAGGGACAGAGGCGCTCCCTGCAGCTGGGCTGCTCTGTCTGCTCAACTCATCAAATGCCCAGCGGGCCCGTTTGCACGGCTAAATAGGAGGCCCGGAGCCAATATTCCATCGCAGTGGAAATATGAGAGCGATTAGGGTGGGTATTGTGTAGCGAGCTGGCTGAAAACAAAAACACATTACCGTAATGATTTTGGTAGTGGAGCCGGTGGGAAAATAATCCTGTCATGTTTCAACATAAACTGACGAGCTTTATATGTTCTACCGGATAAAGCTGGAAAGTAACATTCATTTATTATTGCAACGCTGTCCGAAATTATTTTATTTGTTAATTGATATTGAAAGTATGATTAGTTGGAAATGTATCGCTGCTTTATGAGCCATTAGATATGAAAATATAGTGAATTTTGCCTAAAATTAAAATAAGAATGGAACTATCTATCTTCGTGTCACGTCCTTGTCATCTTTGAGCGCCTAATTCGTAGCTCACTGCCCGCGATGTCTGTTTGGGCGGTCGCTCATCGTTTGAGGTCTGTGTGTTCGGTAACTCAGTTGGCTTGATGTCTGTTCGTGCGGTCACTCGATGTCTGTTCGTGCGGTCACTTGATGTCTGTTCAGGCAGTCACTATAAGCCCGTCCCATAAACCGTCCTGGCCACCAGCCGGCTGGCAGGTCTGCGGCTGCCCCATTCGACCAATATCCCCCAGCAGAGCCATGCCATTCGGTCTCGATTGACGCCCACAGACCGCGCTGCCCTCCTAAATTACGGCGGACCTAATGACACGCTCGTTGCGCGACCAGACCTCCGCAACACCGGATGAAGAGGCGCCGGACTTCCGGAGGTAGGGATGGTCTGTCAGTGCCATAGCTTCGGCAACTTGCGAAACTTTCATATAGTGAATAGCCTCCAAAGCTTTAGCAGTGCCTTTGGCACCTTGCATCTTGGCCAAGTACAACTCAAAAGCAGTGTACAACTAGCTTTTGGCCAAGTACAACTCAGTATTTAGCAACATTCAACAGATTCAGTGATGGCGTCTGTGGTAACTTTTGGTGTACTTTTCTAGCTAGGGACGATGCAGAAAGCAGCACGGTCATGACAATGACATCTGAAGGATGTCATTGAGTCCTAGAAACTGAGAGATGTAACATAAGAGTGCTACTGCTGTTGCCGAATGTCGGAGTGAGTGACATATGAACGTTGTGGAACGCCGACGTCCCAACTTTGCAGCGTGGGTGTTTTGTCAAAGCTAGCCGTGTTTGCCTGGCGAAAGTTGCTAGTGGTGACTGGAAACCTCCCCAGCAAATGGCTGTCTTAAGAATTGAAAACAGTCTCGTTGGCTGCTCTTGTAAATCAAATATATGTTTTCTGTATTTATGCATTGTGAATGTATTGCATATTGTTTCAATACCCTCAAATGAGTCATGTTACAACATTAGATCGCATGACAGAAGTAATTTACTTTAGACAGTATGCGTTTTGGAAATCATTGCCATGGGCATTCAAAGTAAGATAACGTTCTTTTTTACGTAGCCAGTGTACCTAAGGCAGCCACCCTCATTTGAACGATTATCCCAATTCCAATGCGTTTTGCTCCACTGTTAACCCGGCAGTTGCTGGGGTATTTCGCCACCCACCGTTTGCTGGGGGGGGGGGGGGCGTTAAACGCCCCCAGCCGATAACTCGAGAACCAATAGGCGCAGCGAAACGCACGAGGCGGCAAACGAAAGAACGCGACAAGACGCTTCAGATGAGTACTTTAAAGTTGAATTTACAGGTCGGGTCAAGGTCAGGTCAAACACCTGAAATCGGGCTTTCAGTAGCATGGACTTCAGGACTTCGAAATGGGCGCCTCTCGTCATAAACTCTGTCAAAACGGTGCACAATCCATCATATAAGGCCTACAAGAGTGTCAGCTCCATGTAGGGGTCAGTCAAGCATAGGTCAGGGTCAAGGTCAGGTCAACCGGGTAGGCACATATCCCCGAAAATCGAAACTGATATTCGCAGCCCGTGACACATGTTTTATGGGTAATTTGGGGCGCAGAACACGATGGTGACATTCATTTTAACATATGTGTACGTGTTTGGCTCAAAAAGTTCAATTTAAGAAATGCATGTATCATGGTCGTCAAGTAGTCACGAGAAATTGCCTAGTTTCAGTTCAAGAATTTGGAAAATGCGGAACGATAATCAATAATCGAAGATAGCCATTTGATTGTTCATGGTATTGGCAGTCTAATGGCGTTGTCTGTATGTCTATTCTGTGATTTTATATGATTTTTTGGACATATGCCGTTTTTGGTCGAAAACTCAGAAATCATGACGTCACTAAAACCTCGATATCGCAAAATTTTTCCGACCGATTTTTTTTAAAACTTTGTCACAATAAACTTCAATCAATTCCCTACAGGTACCCAAAATTTGGCGCGCCTGCGGCGCGTCGTTTTTATGCTATGGCCCGGCGAAAAAAGTGGGGGCGTTTAACGCCCCCCCCCCCAGCAACTCGCGGGCTAACCTTGTTTCATGGGTGATCCAAGATCTTATGCCATCAGCACCAGAAATGATGAAAACAAGGAAGGACAACGAAGAAAAATTGGTGGCAAATAGTACGATTCCGTTAGTCTCCCCAAATCACCGAGAACATGCCTCATGCATGGTACGCTCATCTCGCTCACGCATCATCTTGTCATCACCAATTCCCACCTCATCACTCACCGTGTCCCAGACCATCCCGCGCGAAAATTCTGCCTATCCCGCTCCTCCATTCGCCGATACTAGGAATCGGGTGTAGACGCCTGCTGCTCCCCGCTCTCCCCGACCTCTCCTCCCGGCAGAGCACAATGAGCTCGTTCGTAGTGCCGACCGGCCGGCCATCTCGAGGGCCCTCGACCTTCTCTTGGGCGGGCGCCCGGCCGGAGGTTGGGGGACCCAGAAGGCCCGGGCCGACTACGCGTGAGAGGTAACAGAGGGCCCGGGCTGACTGATCACCAGGAGTACGCTGGGTCAACTCCTACCCGCCCGGGTAGGAGACGGTCAGGCAGACGGTCGGGTAGACCCCAGAGACAGTCTGACTCTGAGACTCAGAGGGTAGGCTGAGGGCTGAGAGTGAGAGTTCACTGATGACAAACCAGTCCGCTGAAACTCCACCACGATCAGGGCTGAATTTTTTGCGACTTGATTTAAATGAGGAAAGTTTATCAGTGGAGGAAGAACCTGAATTTAGTGCCCTAATTAATGATAATCCTGCAGCAGTAGTGGTTAATTAAACGAATAAAAACACCTTACTTCGTTGGATGGTTCCAATAGCAAACGAAGCCGAGTTGGGTGAAAACTAGAAGCTCACTAAAAACAACTTCCTAGCCCAAAGCAGAACAGTTTCAATTCATAATATCTCCTATTGGTTAGGTTCTACCGAAGACCCGTCGCTTGTCTCTTCTCCCTCCTACCATTGCTCTTTTCTTTAGTTCTGAGTGGGACAGCTAGCTCTACCATGACACTCCCAGAAAAGATTGTTCTTTTTCTGTTCCATGCGGTAACTACTTACTCAAAGATTGACTATCGCTGATGACGTCAACTCGATGCGAGACCGAACAGCTGAGCACAGCCCACCCCCCCCCCCTCCCCACCCCCGATGCCTCCACACACAGACCTCTCCCAGATACAGACCTTTCCGAGTGTCCCAGGAAGATAAATTGTCCTCCCTCTCTCCCCCAGCCCGCGGGGGTGGGAGGGCTAGAGTGGGGGAGCTGGGGGTGGGGATGTAGTGATTTCGTATCTGGCCGGCATCAATATTTAGCTCGCTTAGGTTGGAGAACTGAGTGACGGTTCTGTTTAGGTAAAGTAATACAGCAAACGGAAACAATTATAGAGGAATGGCGAGTCGAGGCAACGGTAGTGTTTTTTTGGACCAATCAGTGACAATGTTTTGATGTGAGCAGGGCAGTAGGTCGCCAGCCCCCTGGGCAGGGTGGCGCAGCGCTGCACGCATGTTTTGTTCTGATAAGGACAGCAGTGGCAATGTTATAGCTTCGAGTAGAAAGGAACGTGTCTGTTTGAGGAATCGAGCTGGAACTGAAACTGGTCCCTCCTCTGGTCACCGTGTGCCGCGATGGCACAGATTTCCGTTATTCGCTGAGCTGGCCTGTCGTCTCCGTCAGTTGTTCCGTCGTTCGGTCCCCGGCCACTAACTCTGGCTGGTAATTGGGTAACTCTGGCGTGGCTGTCGGACCGGTTACCGCCCATTCGGACGTCCGCTCGGTCGATGCTGCGCTCATCAGCCCGTCGGTTGTCCAGCGCCGTCATCCGTGCTGTTGTCAGCCACTGGGTAACATGGTCACGAGGCCACTCAGCTACCGGCCCATTCGACCAACTCGTTGGTCTCTCGGTAACTTGTTACTCCTCTCGTTCCACGCTCTGTCCGCCTTTCGTCTTCTTTGTCGCTCCCACGTCGATACGTGCGGGCTTTATGGAAGTGTGCAGCCATAGTGGTGGCGGACGGGCCGTCATTTTTGGAGGAGCGAGCGGGCTGCGTCAGCGCGCGGTCGACAAAGGCTGATGTATCCTCACTGTGCAGTGTGCACGACAATTCAAAGGCCGTTTGACAAGCCACCGGGCTCTGATGACCTGTGACTTACATCTCTCGCCGGTTGCGGAGGATTTCCCAGAGTCGTTTGGTCCTGTTGGAGTTCGTATGAAATTCAGACGCGGAGATGTGGGATTTGGGCGGCATCTTCAGCTCGTCAGTGTGGCACTGAAGCTTGCTGTGTGGAAATCTGCTGTTTCCAACAAGACAGCTGAACGTTCCATATGCTTGTTTCGTCTTTACCATGCATGTCGATGGAGACATTGCACCACTTTTGCCACATAACTATTTTGTTTTGTTTTTCGATTGGCCCAATTTATTCTAACACCACACATCATTGACCTATAATAAGTACACTTATTATAGTACACTTAAGTACACTTAATAAGTATACTTATCATAGGTCAATGCCACACATATCCGTGACTCATTCCTATGAAATTGTGGGGCGGCGTTTGCGTGGATGCTGTGCGCCGACGCCGCCCGGGTGTAGCGCCCCCTCCCGGCGCGCGGCTGGGCGCGCCTCTGCGCCATGCCTCTGACTGGGTGCGCCGCTGCGACCGGTGCGGCGGCGAAGGTCGAGGCTGCGGCCCGGGGGGCAGACGTGTGAGAGGTCGAGGACTGGAGGGTCGCCGCTCGCGCGTGCTGAGTGGATACGAATAAACGAAGGACTGAGACGCTGCCTCTCAACTAACAAAATCTTTCAAAATGTTACGCGCTTTTTCATGCAGAGCTTAGGACCACTTCGCTCAAGACACCTTCAAAGTATGCCTATTCCTGTTATCAGGTAAAAAAATCATTTGTTCATGCTACATACGTCTCTTCCTCCCGAACTTCATATTCTGCTCTTGCCCGGCCACCACGCCCTTTTACTCCCTTTCCGTTGGGGATAAATTATGACACGCGATTTTCAATGGCTGCCGCTGATGACCGGGGCTGGGCTTTAATCTACCGCCTTTGCCCTGGGGAGTCGTTACGGGGCCACCATGAGGCCGTGCGCTATTTTTGTCGATGAGCGGCATTACTGGCGCAGTGAGCGTCGTTCGAAGCGCTCCTGGGCGGCCAGCTCAGGCGAGGAGCGGAGGATTCTCGGTAAGGCGAGGCGAGATACATGCCGCTCACGGGCGCAGTGTGACTGGTATTTATCGCCGGTAATATTTATCGCGGTATGACTGGTACTTATCGCCGGTAATAAATTTGTGAGAAATGTGGCCCCCAAACGAGAGGATATCCATCTGCGTCGAGCTCAGTTTCCGAGAGGTCATTGAGTATAAGGGCACTGACCGAGACAAGTTAAGTAAAATTATTGAGAAAAGAGCAAGCGTGGTTTTGTTGCCGCTCCTTTCAGTGATTTTTAAAAGGTTTTGTTGGCTTACCGATGTGGTTCAACCTCATTGCTTTCATATGGAAAAAAGAAATAAATATTCCTTTGAATGGCTCTACACCAACAGACGTATATACTTATCATTAGGGACTTGCAAAAAAGAAAAAGAAACGTGACTGAAAGTTGAAAATGAATTCAACTTCGTTCTCAAATAGTGCCGAAAAAAACTCAAATGGTTCTAGTGTAAATGGCGTCTGGCGTATGGAATCAACTGGTGACCATGCGCAAAAAATCGAATGCATCGAATTCACGTGTGATTCGTTTTGTCCAGGGGCTCCTAAGCATTGTATTTAAACATTTTTTGAGGTACCTACGTGATGTTTGCAACCTTGGGGGCTTGCAGCAGTGACCGGTGTGACAGGCCAATGTGAATGCGAGGATCACCGGTAGTCTGGGCAGCACGACCATGACACACGACTTATGTATAACGGGTGCACTTTCGTTGCAGGCGGTCCGGACGCTGAGTCGATTGAAGAGTGTCACCAACTTCACAGAGTTCGTGAAGGCTTTTAGCCAGTTTGGCCAGGAAATGGTCGAGTTTGCTCATCTCACTGGTAAGAGCATCATATTGACTGCTGAAGTCTCTAGATTGTGCAAGCCCAAAAATATTGAATTTAAAGCCATATTTGAAGAATGAACAGAAACTGGCGCTACGAACGGACTTGAAGCTCAAACAGCTTCCAAACTTTAGTTATAAAACTGTTCACTTGAATTTCAAACTGAATTAGAATCATTTTTATTTTGGTTTTCTCGACAGCATCAGCTCCCAAATGCTAACTTGACGTCAATCTGACAGGTTTTTCCGAGTGTGCTATTTTATAGACCATCCAGTTGCCCTATTTTATCGAACTGTTCAACGCGTTAGATATATTATCGCTGCTGCCTATTTTGCATTACAATCGGACTCTTGAATGGACTGTTTTCGGAATTTTAATAAAATGTGCAGACTGGCACAAGTGTTCCCAATCGATGGATTAATTAGGCAATTAATACTTGTGTGGCCTTGAATACCATGACAACAAAAACGCTTAATTCGCGACTTACAAAAGAAAAACACTTCTTTGACTGCAGAACTAATCAGTACACTAATAAATTTTCTGCTCATATTTGACCCTTTATGGTTCGCCCGTTTCCGACCGGCAGGCAGCCGACAGAGTGACCTGAAGGATGAGCGGCGAAGGGCGCAGATTACCGCCGCTCGTCAGGTGCTCGAGAGGTCCACTATGATGCTGCTGACGTCTTCCAAGGTTGGTGACGACTGACGCGCTCCTTAACCCGGCACCGCCTGGGCTATTTCCGTACCCACATCAGCCTGGGGGGGGAGGGTCGGATCCGACCCCCCCCCCTGTTATCTCGAGAACCAATGGTCGTATCGAGCCCCGCGAGGCGGCGTTCGAAAGGTCTCTACGAGACCTTCCCAAAGCACTCTTAAGATTTTAAGATTGAGGTCAACTTTCGGGTCAAGGTCAGGTCAAAGGTCAAATTCAGGGGTTTTGCATGATTAGGCTTACGGACAGCGGAATCGATAGCTGCTGCTCGAAACTCACCACAAATGACCCCAAAGACCTAGTGAAGGTACCATGTGCGTATAGGGGTCATACTAAGTACGGGTCAAGGTCAGGTCAGGTCACGAAAGGTCACGGTTTTCACTTTCTGCTACATGGGCGTGCGACACATGTTTTATGGCTTATTTTTCACGCCAAATCCGATGGTAATGGTTATATGTGACCCCAAGTCACTGTGCTGGTGATAAGTGTGCATTGAAAGCATAAAAAATCGTTTATACCATACATAACTAAACGAGGGCAAAGAAAAAAAGTCAATTTTTCAACTTTTTATTTTTGACATAAAAATGCACTTTTCTAGACGAGCTTTGTCCCAGGAATCTAGTGGTGCCATTTGTTTTCACATGCGATGTTCAGAAGTGCCTCTAATTCGCGAAAATGCTTATGACGTCACCATGCCCTATGCATGTTGGAGCTATTTTTTACAATTTGGGGGTCAAAAATCAAGATAGAAAGTTGAAATTTGGGACATCTAATGTTCTAATAGAGCTCTATAACATATATTCCGGTTTTTTGGAAATTCTCAAAATTTTGGATTTTATTAGCTGTTTTCCAAAAAATATAGTTTTTTGACTTTTTAGGGGTGAAAAACGCATTTTATGGAAAATCCGAGATAGCCATTTTAAAGAACTCGTTAAGCTGCGTCTTTTCATGTCCTTAATTTGCAATTTGCTTAAAACCTCGATTTTTGGCGATTTTTTAAACATTTACCATTTTTTGACTGAAAACGCCATGTAGTTACATCACTAAAATGGATATATCTCAAAAATTTTTGAAATTTTTTCTTAAAAATTGCACAGTAGACGTCAAATTGATGGGGGAGAAGGTATGCGAAGTTTCAAGTTGATAGCGCAAGCGGTTCATGAGTTATTCAAGAAAAACGGAGGGGGGGGTCGGATCCGACCCCCCCAGGCGGTCGCGGGTTAAGACATCCATGAACGTTCGTGGCCATCACACAGGCAGCACATTTTTATGCCTTTTTGTTACCAACGTAAGAAAATCTTTATTGTAGCTTGGTATATTGCGTATAGTGTAATTATTTTATCATTATTCTGGTATAATATGTCGTAGTTTTAAGCGACCAGGCACTATCGCTCTTTTTAAGAATATCTTATCGATGTTAACCATCGAATTTTGTAGAGCCATGGATCTTTATTTTGGCTGTGGTCACTCCTTTAAGCTGCAGTAAAGTATTTCTGCCGAATGAAATGACATATCGTAAGAGCAATATCAATGTTTCCTCGATGCCTCACCCTTTTCGGTCTCGCTGTCCCGATGGAACCGTCACTCGGCTTCAAGTTTCGCTCACTGAGCTACGAGTCATATATTATTCCTAAGACAATTTCAAGTAGCTGCCAAGACTGGCTTGACAAAGGATCCGCCAAAGTCATCGAAGACTACAAGAGATTTAGTGCCGGATCGTTCGCTACCTTATGCGCTGCCAAATTCACTTAGCTGGGATTGACGACGCGTTTTCGGATATCCTGTAAGCGATGGGCATATTGCGGGACATCTTTCTAGATCATCCATCTGCATTTAGTCTGCGCAGTCCGCTTTACAGATCTATCATCCATCCATCCCATATCCTATTGAGCACGAGTCCCGTCAGTTATTCCTCTAGCATGTATCGGTATGCATCTTCCCGAGATGGCCTCTAGCCGACGTGGCACCGCCTGCCTCTCTAGAATGTTGGATGAGTCTCCATCCCCGTGAATTCTCGCGCCCTCAGCGGTGGCCATCACATTGCCCGGCTATAAGGGCAGCAACAAGCCAGTAACCCGGCAGCTGGATGGTCGCTGGCGGGCGCCGCGCCGCTGCGGCCAGCACCGCCCGGCCGGCCGGCCGCCGCCCGCGCCGCTTATTGAATTGCCTCAGGCGAGACGAGCCTGGAGCGAGTTGGAGCCCTGATGGTGGCCCGGGACGGGCCAACGAGATACTGAGTCAGGGACCCCGGCCGCGCCGGACGGGGGCGGCGGCAAATGACGATCGAAATAGGTAGACGGCGCGTGTGTGAGAATGGTCCTGCATATGTATTGCTGATCAGTGACTTCGAGTTGAGTAGATTGTGACGTACAGTCTGCAGTAATTAAACGCTCCGTCGTATTGCGGATGGACGGATAATTTCCCATGTAATTCGTGTCTAGGCCTTTATATTTAGTTCAATGAGGCTTCATGCACAAAATTACTCAACACAGCACAGGTTATTATATTGTTGCAGAAGAGTAAGATTTTTCTTTAAAGTTTCAGAATTGCTATTTCATATTAGACATAGAAGTCAGAACATGTTTGACTTTTGCTGGAAATGTTCGGTGAGCTTCATTAGTTGGTTAACTTTATTGCTATATCATTTTTCTTTTATTTACCTATCAAATATGAACAATGAAGATGTTCAGCAAAGGCATCGACTAAATTACAATTCATTTGTTATCGGAGCAGTAGCTGCCACAACACTCGTCAGCACGACATAAATGTTTGCCTGAAGTTTCTGACGCATCATTTATTTGGAAAAAATCCTCTGGAAGCGCAATTTGTAGCGTCTCAAAGCTTACCGACATATTTTAGAACTAGATGACATCTTGGTTGATTTGGCTATCAAGAAGAAGCTTAACTTGGGAGATAAAAGTTGTGGCTACGTAGATCGTCTGAAGCAGTACAGCCAGTCTTGAAAGCACCGCGTATTGCTGCGGTGGATTCACCAAGCCCGACTGAGGAAGGGCTGGTAAATTTGAGAGGCACCGAACCAATTGAACCGGGGGATGGATGAGGATGTCGATTGGCTCGGTGACTCCCAAGTCTCAAATTTAGCAGCCCTTCCTCAGTCGGGCTTGATGGATCCACCGCACCGATGCGCGGGTCTTTCAAGACTGGCTGTACAAATTGCTAGCATTTGGAGAAGCCCTTTAGTGCAGACATTGTCATCCACTCGTCGACGACATGCGCAAGGAGATGGCGATTACTTCCCTATGTTCAGGAGCCAAATATCACCAACTGGAAGTTGGAACACATATTTCAACTTGTTGATTGACGAAATCTACGTTTAAGTGACCCTCAACCCGTTTCTTGGTGCTTTGAGAGTGTGCCCGTAGCACATGTCTTAGAGTTCATCTGTCTAATCCTAATCTTTCCGTATCGACAAGCAGTGCCAAGCTGACTTGACTGTCAGTTCCCTGCCACCGATATCACGAACACGCTTAGCCCTGGAACCACCGCGTTGGCAACCAGTAACCCCCCCCCCCCCCCGGCCTGTCTTCCTGCCACTGAGATCACTTGCTCTCGTGTTCACAGGCGGTGTTGCGACACCCCGACTGTCCCCGGTCACGAGACAACCGGGACACCGTGTTCTGCCAAATGCGCCGCGCTATGGACCTAATCCATTACGTCGTCAAAGGTGAGTTTCAGGTCCTCCTCGAGACGGTCCGAGATGGCTCACTGCTCGAGCCTTTACGCAGTGGTTTCTCTGAGTCGGCAGACAGACCACCTGTGGCCACTGGCTGCTCCCACAATGGCCAGGCAGTTTGGAATAAATGTCTGAAAGGGAACATCCTATTTGAGGAAACGCGTAACTATTATAGGATCGCACAGTCTCTCCCTTTGTCCTTTTTCTTCCCAACCCCCTCATTTCAGCCGAGCCACTGACCCCATGGTCAGTGTGTTTTGCCGGTTCCGTCCTTCCTCGCTAGCCACCAGCTGTGGCAGTGTTGTTGGCGAAGCCGGCCGCCGCGCCTGGAGGCTGTGACGGAGCGAGCCGCATTACCGGCCGGGGAGGCCGACCACCCCGGGCCGCCGGGCCGCGCTCAGAAATGGGCCGCTACGCCGCCACTAAAAGGACTATCAATTTAGACGCCGATCGCGCCGGCGTCGCCGCCACTGCCGACGCCAGCCGTGCCGGCTTGCTTTATATGCGGACCAGACTCACCAAAGATGGTGTTGCGTATGCTGAAATACGTAATCGGCTGGCTGAGCGAAACGCGATACGAAAAAAGGCTGATTGGGTTTGCGGGATGCGATACTTTGATCTGTTTAGCAAAGTGTCCATTAATGCGGACGTCTTCTTTTGAAGAAAGTCTAAAGTGGTTTTATTCAAAATGTCTTTGCGGGCATTGAACCACAGCCTTTGGCACAAATTGCAGCTGTCTCGTTCTTCAATCCTTCAACATTTTTTTTTATAATCAAAAGTCAGTGTAGGATCTTTTTTAAATGAATGCAGGTTGATGAACTTCTTTTTTTATTGATGCAGCTTCTACACAAAGGCTGCAATTCGAAGCGGAGTGTGCAGCTGCAGTGTGCTCAAATTCAGGGTTTACTCTCAAACATTAGCTGCCTCCAGGCTCGAACCACACACTTCAGTGACAGCCGTGAGATGAGACGCGGAATTGCAATGTGCTCTATCCTGCCTCGCGGGCCAGGACTCGACAGCTTATGAGCTCGTTCCAAACTGTCAAACTGTTGAGCGAAGTCTATTTACCCGTTCCGGCCCAGCCGATTGGTGATATCGTGTGCCTATGATCAAGGCAGTCGACAGCGACCCTGGTATAATAGTCACCGATAGGGACGCTTTTGACCAGAGAGATATCCTATGGTTGCAGTAGGGATGTCATATCTTAGTGGGATACGGAGATTCAGAGTAGCGTGAGAAGCTGATCAAGATTAAGTTAATTACTGAGGTAATTGAGATAATTGAAATTAGATTGGCTGGTGCCTGTTAGATTAGCCGATCGAAGTACCTACTTGGTACCAAAAAAAAAAGAAGAACAAAACGTTAAATAGTAGTAGCTGCTCATTGATTCAAACTACCAACAAAAAGTACCTATACCCATTTTTTATAAAACTTCATTGGATTAAAATGCATTTACAAGTGCTACAAAATTGTATCATTTTCATTTAGAATGAGCACCAAAATTGTTCATCTCCCAGCATTTAGCGAACTATCATTTCTGTAACCGAAGCCGTGGATCGTTACCGCCCTATTGACCCTGTCTGGCCAGCCGCCACAAAACAGCTCTCTGTCAGCCGGGGCCGCTCCGATCGGCGGCTGTGCCCGGAGCCTTGTGTAACCACCGACCCCCCCCCCCTCCCCACTACCCCACCCCGGGTCACCAAACAAGGCAATCGGTCAGGGCGGTCCGGCCGGCCACGGGCCATCGCCGGCGCGCCGGTCAGACTAAATATGAGAGCTGTTGTTGTGCCTGGTCGGAGTGATTTAGGGCCCGATATGGCCGGGCGTGGTCCGACCGAAAATTGATTTCGTGTGCGTCTGCAGCGAACGCCGGAGGCCGCATCTCAATTCTCAATTCCGCGCGCAGAGGGGCTGGCGAGTGCGGCTGTATTTGGCATTCAGGCCAGTCAGCTGATCGTCAACAGCTGCCTCTGGGTGGAGGGCTCGATTGCAGCCCGTTTGATGTGTGGCGTTTGTAAACATTCATATTGAAGCTCATCAGTCGTCATTGATACAGACTGGAACGTTAGACGAGCAACGGACCCTCTGGTATAGCGATATTGGCATAAGGAGATATGAAAAATACTGGAAATAATAATATGCATCCAAATAATCGTTCAGGCCTCCAATTGAGATAAAACAATCACTGAACATTTGAGTACCTATGTTTGCATTTCTTTTTTCTCCTACATGTCAATATGCCAAACAAGCCGTTTATTTTGCTCTGCTGGAAAAAAAACATCGTTGTTATTTGCAGTCCTCAGATTCTTAATAGTTTTTTCCGCTTCCCCTTCGAGCTGCCAGCAAACATAGAGACAATTAGCTATGCTATGCGTAACCAATCTCAGCGCAAACCTCACAACCAAGCCCCTCCAGGAAAACACTGTAGCTGTACAAAAAGGGGCTATTGGTATATTCAGCCCAAATGAACACGACACAAACATACTAGCAAGTATACAAGTCTCAACCGAGACTGCCCTGCCAACGGGCCGCCACCCCTCCCCCCGCGCGGCGCAATGGTGTCCCCACCCAAACTAGAAACCCTGTCGTGTGTGTCCTCCCCCGGAAAAAGTCCTAACTAGAAAAAAACCGGGGGACCTAGCTGGGGAAAAACCACATTTTGTGGAAAAAACCCATCTTTATTTAAGAGTGTGGTGCGTGTAAAAAAAAAAAAAAAAAAAGTCCCAAAAATGGTGGTGGGTGGGTGGGAAACGCAAAAACATTTCAGAGCGAGAACACTGCTGACTTGCGTCAGACCGGACGGCTTAGAACAGAGTGACCGCGCAAATGCACTCAAACCCCGCGCCGTCACCGTCACGTGACACAAGTCGCTCCACCAATCAGAGGAGGCCGCCGCCTTAGCGGCCTTGCCGCCCGGGGGCGCAGGCGGCCGCTCGCCTGCCGCCGAACGCTGCTCGCCGAGGCCGGCCCGGCTCCGGGGCCGCCCCAGAGAAGACGCTCGTAGTATCGCGGAAAAACCGGTTATATCTTGTCATATATAACCGGGCGTATTTTCCGCTTCCCCTTCGAGCTGCCAGCAAACATAGAGACAATTAGCTATGCTATGCGTAACCAATCTCAGCGCAAACCTCACAACCAAGCCCCTCCAGGAAAACACTGTAGCTGTACAAAAAGGGGCTATTGGTATATTCAGCCCAAATGAACACGACACAAACATACTAGCAAGTATACAAGTCTCAACCGAGACTGCCCTGCCAACGGGCCGCCACCCCTCCCCCCGCGCGGCGCAATGGTGTCCCCACCCATTCAATACATCCACCCAGACACCAATGCGCCATAAGAAAACACCCCCTTCCCGAGACCAGCAGACCGAGTGGGGGATACAAATTAACACAAAAGACCTACAGTCGCCGCCAGGGTCGAGACCAGTGGCGGAACCCACCCAAATACGTGCTTGGTTGAAGGTAGGTAATTATTTCCTCAACCTGGCCCGAAGCTTACCAGAAACGCCACGATTCCTTAAACCTGTCAACATGAATGTGAGCGATACAGCGGTCACCAATGAAGAACAATATTACGGTATTTATACCGAAGCCCTCACATGACTAACAACCAGAAGATTAGCCACTACTGCGATGATAGCCTCCACCAAGTAAAGGCCCTCGATATACCCGCCGAAAAAAACAACCATCCATGAGTTCTGAGGCATCTGCCAACGGAAGCTGTATTTTCCTTTACCTTGAACCCTATGCACATGCTTATCAGCGCGACCATTAATTTTCCCAGAACTTTGGAAGGGGTTAGAACAGTATCAACGAAGGTCGTTGACAGCCGCCCAGCAAAAAAGGAGAGGGCTCTCAGCCCGCTCCAGGAATCAGGCTGTTGTAGGAGGGGACGCCTGCGGGCAGACTAGCGAGCTGCCCAGAGGCCGTGTAGAAGGGACACCCCCGGGCAGACTAGCGGGCTGCCCCGAGGCCGTTGTAGAAGGGGACACCCCTGGGCAGACTAGCGAGCTGCCCCGGGGTCGTAGAAGGGGACCCCCCCGGGCAGACTAGCGAGCTGCTCCGGGGTCGTTGTAGAAGGGGACACCCTGGGGCAGACTAGCGAGCTGCCCCGAGGCCGTTGTAGAAGGGGGCACCCCGGGCAGACTAGCGAGCTGCCCCGGGGTCGTTGTAGAAGGGGACATCCTCCCCCCGGGCAGACTAGCGAGCTGCCCCGGGGTCGTTGTAGAAGGGGACACCCTGGGGCAGACTAGCGAGCTGCCCCGAGGCCGTTGTAGAAGGGGGCACCCCGGGCAGACTAGCGAGCTGGCCCGAGGCCGTTGTAGAAGGGGGCACCCCGGGCAGACTAGCGAGCTGGCCCGAGGCCGTTGTAGAAGGGGGCACCCCCGGGCAGACTAGCGAGCTGCCCCGGGGTCGTTGTAGAAGGGGACCCCCCCGTGCAGACTAGCGAGCTGCCCCGGGGTCGTTGTAGAAGGGGACCCCCCCCCCGGGCAGACTAGCGAGCTGCCCCGGGGTCGTTGTAGAAGGGGACACCCCCGGGCAGACTAGTGAGCTGCCCAGGGGTCGTTGTAGAAGGGGACACCCCCGGGCAGACTAGCTAGCTGCCACGGGGTCGTTGTAGAAGGGGACACCCCCGGGCAGACTAGCGAGCTTCACCCAGGACTTGCAGAATTGGGCATCCCAAGATTCTCCGAATGTCTAGGGCAATTACCCGACCTGAATACCAAAAATGCCCGCTTTTGAAATCTGATAGTATCCGCATCACCCGCCACGGGCAACAAGCTTGCCTTTCCGCGAAGCTCCGGATTGATCAGGGACCAAATGACCGGCATACAGACAGCCCCTACGCTGTAAACAGGCCAATATGGGTATAAAGGTTGCCGTTGCTTCCTAGCTCGACACGTTTAGGAGGAGCTTACTGCCTCCAAACGCCGAGCTGGCTCAATGTCACCCATAGAAGGTACAGTAACTCACCCACCAACCAACCATAGGCAGGTCCTGAGTGACGTCAACACTGATGCTGGCGAGGGGTACCAGTGCCCCCAAACTTTGCTGATTTAGGTGGGAAACGACATCCAAATGAAAATCATTTTCACTCGCCTCCATTTTTTAATAGCCCATTTTCCACTCCCAATTTTACCAAGAAAAAGCATTTGCATGGATCGATAGCCATTTTACTTCCCATATACCAGCCTTGTATTAAATTTTGCTGTACATTCTTTTTCCACTCTTTTTGGGCCTTATCTGACCATCAATTTTGCACCCTTATCCCTTATTTGGTGAATAATTTTCATAGACCCGGGAAACAGGTGGGCAGCGGGGGCGCTTGCCCCCCCCCCCCACCTGAGAGCCGAGGGGACGGCGCCCCCTCAACATTGAGGCAGCGAGAAAGGATCTTTCCTCCCTTTTCCGGACTTCCTTTTGTTTCCTTTATACATCTAAACATCAACACACGGCATTTTCCTTGCCATCTGAATGGTTTCTGCTGTTACAGTATCGATTTGACATCTGCCGTTGCCATCCCGCTTTTGTTTGGGCCTGGCCTTGGCCATAAGTTTGGCAGGCCAGCTTTTATACTGGACCATTGTGAGTCAACCTTGAGAAATACCCAACGTACAACGGTGGTAAAATCGTTGCTACAGGTATAACACAGGTTACCCGCTCCGGGTGTAAGGGAGGGGTGTGGGGCAATGAGTGCACTTACGTGGCGTCCTTGGAAGGCCGGTATGGGATTAAAAGCTCAGCGACACTAAGGGCTTGTATGGTGTCTTCGGTTATCGTTAGCATTCTCAGAATCACCGGCGTAGGGCCCTCAGAGCCGCCGGTAAGGGGCCTTTAAAGGCACTGGTGTGGGAATGTCATGCCGGTGCCGGTGTGGGCGCTCAGAGGTGCCAGTATGATTCTCTCAGAGGCGCCGGTGAGGGTCCTTACAGGCGTTGCTGTGGGCCCTCATAGACGCTGGTGTGGAGCCGTTACAGACGGGTGTGGGGCCTGAGCTGGTGACGCGAACCCTCTACAAGCCGGCAGGGGGTCTCAGTGACCGGCAAGAGGCCCTTAGGCCAGCAGAAGAAGTTCTGTGGGGTCCTTAGAGACCGGCATGATACTATCATACGCCGTGGGGCCCTGAGAGTCACCGGACCGGTGTGGGGCCCTCAGAAGTCACCAGTGGGTGACCTTTAGATGCGCAGGTATTGGGTAGGGTAGGGATTCGGGTCCTCGCTCCGAGTCGCCGATATAGGGCATTAATAGGCACTAGTGTAGGCACTCAGAGTTGGGGATGTGAAACCCTCAGAGACACCGGTGTGGGCCCTCATAGGCGCCGACTAGGGCCCCCACAGTTGCCGATATAGGGCCATCAGAAAAATAATTGTGGGACCATCACAGGCGGGAAATGCCCCTAGAACTGGGCCCTCATAGGCCGGTAAGAACTTTCAGAGGCCAGTAACGGGCCTTTGGAGACCACTGAGGGGCCCTTATAAAAGCCCAGAAGGCCCTCAGAATCCGGCGTGGGGCCCTTAAAGAGGTCTTAGTGTGGTAATTAGGGTCCATGAGGAGCTCTAACGAGCCCCATGGGGCCCTTCTATATGGCCATTGTTAACCCCCAGTGGTCAAATGGCGCCGCAGGGCCCCTCGGACCCGAGGCTCCCTTTGAACCCGATGGGGAGGTGGGGTACGCGTCCCCTTAGACCCCTAGCTACGCCACCGTTTCACATGCATTAACGCCAGGTATTTTATATGCTCGCCCCCCCCCCCCCCCCCCACACCTTGAAAATCGTTCCCGGGCTCCTAGGAATTTTCCTTTGACACCCAAGCCAAAATACAATTTTGTGACACTGAGGGAACTCCCAGTCCTAACAACGCATACTGACTTCCTTCATTTTAACTATTAATGATAGTACCTAACCTGTATTGTTCAATGTTCATTCGCTGTTTTGCAGGAGAAAGGTCATCTCATATTTTATAGCGACAAGTAGAAATAATTTGCTAAGAAATAGACCGCTTTGAAGATAGTTACAGACGATTTAACAACCCTCAGCAGCAGCAGCAAACCAAGGTTGAAAACACGTCTAACGTTAGACTTGATAGATTTCATTGTTTATCTTCGGGCTTCGCCTAACGATTTTATCACAATTTTATATACTATCATAGTATCTTACTTTCCACCAGCATTGCCCTCATGTCCCTATTGGTGGAACCAAACATCCCCTCAAAAATGCCGATATCGCCCCTGCCCAAGCGTTCACAATCCACCCTATCGAGTCCCCTAGAACCTCCATTAACAGACATGTACCGGGCCCCGTACATGGAATAACGTACCTTTCAAAACCCCGGCCACCCTGGCCTATACCTGACGATGTCCCGTAAGACCTGCTAGGCAGCACCACTGGAGCAAGATGAGCTGGGAGGGGTCGGAACTCCCTCAGCTGACACAGGAGCTGTGAAGGAATCCTTCAGCGGCCAGAGAAGACTCTGGCAAAGCGGGCCGGCCCCGCCGAGTGTGCCGATCCGTCGCCGTTCAGAGTCGGATGCCAAACACCAAGCCATGGAAGAAGGAAAAAAAACAGATTGTGTCACATAACCATTTTTAGCCGAAATCTCGTATCAAAAGGGGCTATATATACCGGGGCCATTTATCTGACAATGCGTGTGATGACATAGCGGCAGGATATGCATATGGCATACCAATATTACTATGATGATTGTCGCTTATGCATGCCTAGGCAATGCTCTGTTGACCAACGACAAGAAAGGCACCCCAACCTGGCAAAAAAAAAAAACGATTTACAAACGACACTACCATAAAAAAAAACGAAACACAGTTAACTCGTACCTCAATGCAGAGTGAGAGCCACCCAATCATGGGCTATACCCTAAAATTGCATCCTAGAAAATGGCATGCCTACCTACTGCAGCCTTTAAACATCGACATGGGTGTGAAAACTTTCTCTGGGTAATAGCCTGTAACTTACTATGCTATCGCTAAATGCATCCCAGAGCCATCTTACATAATTCCCCATCTAATCCATAATATCCTAGTCCGCCGAGACTTATCACACCCAAACTGGGTTCCACCGTATCACCGCTGTACCTCTGTATCTAACACCAGATAACAAAACCAATTAAGACCAATACCATTGCATTGGTTATCCTTAGCATGAATTCCATTTACCATCTCAAGTCTCACCCGGTAGTTGGTACCCTTGTTATCAACAATCCCTAACCCACTAATGAAAACCCCGCTCGGACACGCTCGGACAGAGCCAACATCACCAGCAGCTCATTCTCCACGGGGTACGCCCACCTGGCACACCTTACGCCAGTAACCGTTCACCTGTATGGGAACCACAGTTCAACCAACACCAGGCACCACAAACGGCAATTCTACCAACTCCCTGCACAACCACCGGCCAACACCGCGTGGCCACCAAACCCTACGCCGGCCAGGCCGTGCACTCTGAGCTGCTACACCGAGAAAGCATGAGCTGATTTCACTCACACGGAGTGTAGAATGGCAAAGTCCGGCGCTCCGTTCCAGGGAAGAAACAAAAAACAGTTACAGCTATGTTACACCTAGCAAATACCTACACCCAATCTCCCAAAATCTGAAAAACACACCAAGCCTATTTCTACCAGCAGTCCAAGTTTCGTTGTCTCATCTAACCTTCAAAGAACCTATAATACCGGGCATTTGCCGACCCATTGCTCATCGACCCTCTTCTTACCGTGATAGCATAACATAAACCCAAAAAAACAGACCCCATGCCGAAAATGAAAAAAAAAAATCAGACAGAAACAACAAACCAGTAAAAAATAAGCATAGAAACCCCGAAAGGAAAAAACTTCCTCGTCAATCAATAACATTGATATAAAACCGAACTTATACTCCCCTTGATGTCTTCCAGTTTCCACTGAACACGACCGCAGTAAACGCAAAAACATTTCAGAGCGAGAACACTGCTGACTTGCGTCAGACCGGACGGCTTAGAACAGAGTGACCGCGCAAATGCACTCAAACCCCGCGCCGTCACCGTCACGTGACACAAGTCGCTCCACCAATCAGAGGAGGCCGCCGCCTTAGCGGCCTTGCCGCCCGGGGGCGCAGGCGGCCGCTCGCCTGCCGCCGAACGCTGCTCGCCGAGGCCGGCCCGGCTCCGGGGCCGCCCCAGAGAAGACGCTCGTAGTATCGCGGAAAAACCGGTTATATCTTGTCATATATAACCGGGCGTATTTAGTTGCGATTTCTTCAGTCGTGATCAGTTGCCGTGCGGGCCCGTGCGGCTCAGTTTTCTCGCTCCCGCGAGTGGACGCGGCTGGCTGTGCTGCAGGTAGGCTGTGCCGCAATACCCATCTGTACTGCGGGACAGCCTAACCGGACTCGCCAGCTCGGCCAGGCCAGCCCCGATGCTCATCGCGATGAGGCGAGGATGAAATCGGAGCGGAAACAAGAGGATTCTGATTTCTTTCGAGACGGAATTTGCTACTTGTTGTCAAATAATTTGTCTAGTGGCAACGTAATGGTTATATTCGTGTGTATCCTTTATTATTTGGGTTATGACTTATGTAATTCCCTCATACATTCTACGGCTCATACGATTACCTATGTAATATTCATCTAGCCTCATATATAGGTTCTTGATGCATATTGTCGATCAAGCTGGTAAAATGGTGCTGTCTCTTTTTTCAGATGGCATTTTGGACACGGTGGTTAGTTCTCAGAACGGCCACCAGGCGGCGGCCGCCAGCCGTCTGGACGGGCCGGCCACTGAAGACTGGGATGCCAACCACACGCTCACGCGCGCCATTCAAAGGTCAGTCCACGAACCGTCTGTGGTGAAAAGTGACATCTCGCAGCAGGCGCAGAGCCAAGGTCCTTGCTGCACGCTGCCAGATCTGCATCCACATTAGTTTTATTCTGACCTGATATATGTGGGCATGAATTTGTTTTGAGGACTGAGATAAAAGACATTAAATAGAGCCGTTTCTTGTTATGGTCACGTCTGGTAGACATCGATCGGCAAGGTGAGCGTCCTCTCTTCCTCATCCGGCGCCATCAGGAGGCCGTCCCTTTTCGTGCTGAGCCGCCAGGCGCCATTCCTTTTGTCTTAGCGCGACCGCCGACAGAGATCCAGCCACGGACGACGATGGCTTTCCGCGGATCTTGGGCGGTCCGAGGTGGCATTTCTGGGACCACTGGCACCGGCTATCGGGCACGGGCAGACGCCGTAGCTCAGACGGGCAGCAGACCGGCCGGCCAGGTCGGCCCGGCGACCATCCGATGGTTAAACTGGAATTCCTGGATTGTGCAATGCGAATGTTTAAATGTGGCCGAGCCGAAATTAGTTCGGTCCAATTTTGTTTTCTTTAAACTGATCAGTGAGCGCGATTACTGGAGATAAATGGGACTTAAGATCTCATACTATTGACAATAAAGTAGGAAGAGTACGACGACGAAGGTGTACGGTGACGATGGGCGGATGTCGGATGAGCAAAAATGTCTTTAGTCATTAGTGTAACCTGTTTACCAACCGGTCATCGCCAGACACCAAGTCTTACCGATGAGATAACCCCTGCGTGGTTTTCCAGGTACGAGGAGTGTGTGGAGATGACGCGAATGACGCTGTGCGGCGAAACCTACCGGGAGCGTCTCTCCTCCCTGCTGGAGACCATATCGGAGCGGTCACAGGACTTCACCGATTCGGCCTACACGCCCCACCAGGCCCGCGAGCACATCCTGCTGCTCTGCGAGCGCGCCAAACTCGAGCTCAATCAGCTGCTGCGCTGCGGCGTCGCTATGGTAACCGCCGCCTCAGACTGGTTCAGCATTGGATATTTAGAAAAGAGTAGGCTTTCAGGTTGAGCTTGAGTTCAAACGCCGTTCTCCCACCTCATGAACTGTTTTATTAGATCGGTCATTTCGCTTATCATTTGTAACTTTAGCTTTCTCATAACACTTCATTATGGTCTGTTATCGCTTATGTTCAAGACAACGCTAGCGCTACTGGCTATTTTCATTAGCTCGTTGCCTTCTTATTTATCTATTTATTTCTCATCTCATGCGATTATTATTCTTAAATGGGAATAGTTAATTTGCCAGCGTTATCTTGTAGAGTGAACAAAGTGACCTACGAGACAGATGTGAGGACTAGAGTCATCGTCTTTTTATTGTTTTCTGCAAACGGTGGCAATCAATTTGTCAGAGAAAACCAAGCAATTTTAAAGATATCCTAGTTTTTATTTTTATTTGAAAGATGACGTTCCGCTTACGCATCGTTTTTAGGAGAACCGAGAATCGACGTCTCCGACGGCTGAGTATGACGAGTCAATAGCGAATGTGCTCAAATCGATGCGGGAGCTGAGGTCAAACTTCCAGGCCATCGCCATGGAACAGGTTAGTGCCGCCATATGTGCATGTCTGGTACTCTCTGTTGCAACACGTAACTGCTTCCCTCGCTTGTTTACACCACTTGTGCAAATGGCTTTCAAACATGCCCGATAAAATTATCCGACTTGCTTTACATACACCTGCCATGGCAGTCGTCGGAAATGATCTATCATGACCCAAAGTGACCCGACTCGGCCCAACCTTACCTGACCTAACCCGATCTGCCTTGACCCGGCGGGCTCATTAATGCTCATTCGATTGCCAAGCTGACCTAAATTGACCCGACCTGACCTAGCCTGGCCTCATGTGCCCCGGCAGGCGTCAGAGCTGATCCGCGGCGTCGGTGACGAAGGGGAAGTGATATCGGGTATGAAGGCCTCGGCACTGGCGGTGGACACCGACCGGCTAGAAGAGTTTTGTTTTCGGTTTCAGGAGCATAGCGACCATGTGCAAGAGGTAAGAACTCGAGCGGCTCGTGCGCTTTGGGTCGGGAGCTGGGGAGGTGGGATGGCAGCGGAGAGGGTGTGAGGGAGTGAGAGGGAGGGAGAGGAGGGGGAGGGAGGTGAAGGATGGATCACGCTCGGTTGTACGAGAGATGATCAATTTGTTTTTTTTTCTGTGTGGATGTGTGTGTATGTTTGTGTGTGGCGTATCCATTAGTGTAAGTGATATATCCTGTTGTGTACTGACTTATCTGGCTGACGTCGGCCGATAGATCATCCTTCTGCTGTGATACGCAGAAAAAAAGTCCGTCCTGTCGCCGTGAATGTATATGGCCAGTCATGTGTTTGTCTGTGACGACGTCTTGCTAATGACTGCATTTTGTAAGTTTCCTTGCGTGCTACTATGCTCTGATTTATTTATTGTCCCCGATGTATTCAGTTGAAATATAAATTGCATAAATTCCTATTAGGTACCTAAAACGAAACTGTGCTGAAAATCAGAAGTTCATGGAAATGATGCTAATATCAGTGCAATTTTAGTGTTTACGAGTCGAAAACAACATTTTTTCTACTTAACACTTAACTTTCCGGTGTTCATAGAAAAACCTCATCAATTTCAATTCGCGGCAAAATATCCGTTCTCTCTGAGAGAGGGCGGATATTTTGAGAGAGAGAGAGAGAGAGAGAGAGAGAGAGAGAGAGAGAGAGAGGGAGAGGGAGAGGGAGAGAGAGGCTCTCTCCCTCTCTTCTCTCTCCCTCTCTCTCTCTCCCTCTCCCTCTCCTCTTCCTCTCCCTTTCTCTCTCCCATCTCTCTCCCTTTCCCTCTCCCTCTCCCTCTTCCTCCCTCCCTCTCTCGTCTCGTCTCCGCATGGCTGGAGACCTTGCCTGGTTATCTGGGTCCACCAGGTGCAGGTCGGGAACGGGGCTGTCACATACTGATACCCGGCTCTGCAGCTACACAGAGCCATCAGAGGCCGGGGCACGGGGCGAGCACCGACAGCCCGATACCAGAGGCATATTGGGGTGTTATGCCGTCTGTGTCCCGTCCCGATGTGTGGATGTGCAATGTGTGGTCATGATTGCCGTTTGTGCCGTGTTGATGTGTTAGTGTTACGGTCCACGTGTGTCCATGTTGCTAATGTGACACCGCCAAAGTTAGTTGCGCCGTTTTACACAGATATGTTACACAGATATACACAGATATGCATTGCGTGTAATGACTGTAATGTGAGGGAAAATTGTGCAATCTCGTGAAATTTTAGGTGCGGTAAGTTAGTCATGTGTCATTTCAAGTTTGTGACTTGTTATGTATTGCAAGTAACATGATATAGGCTATTATATCACCACGTTACATTTTTTTTTTGTGCGTGTGCAATATGTGACATCTCATTTGAGTGAGCTGTGATAGAAGCATTAACATCACGTGACATTTCAGGTGTGTAAGCTGTTACGTCACGTGGCGCCGACGGAAACGCTGCAGATCGCCAGCAAATACTCGGAGATAAACCTGCGATTGTACGGGCCGCAGCTCCTAGCTGCCGCCCACATTGTGTGCCTTCACCCCAACTCCAAAATAGCCAAAGAAAACTTCGAAGGTGAGAGCTGCACGCATGACGGAGAATCGCTAGAAATTTGCTTGAGGATTGTACCCAGAAATGCTGGAAAACTCATGTGTAAATATAACTAAAGTTTCAATGAATAATAATCTGGTATACTCTAGTTACATGTCACCAGAATATAGTTAGGTGGTGTTCGGCAAGTAAATTTCCACCTGCGTTGAGGCTTTTTTATTCCTGGTAGTTATGTCCTGGTATATGCGACATACCTATTTCTAGTTGACGTCACGGTTCGCCGGTACTCCCCTCGCCGGTCGGTGCTCGCTGGGCTCTGGCCGGGCGGGGAGAGGGGAGGGGAGGGGAAGCGGGGCGAGCCCGTCGGCGGCGACTGTCGATGGCGCTCCGGCCGATACCGTCGTCCGAGAAATATTGACCACGTCAGACCAATGAGATGAATTTCCTTCAGTATTAGAAAAGATTGGCTCATTCCATACATCAAATTGATCTCTAAATGTGACATGAACCAGTGGCGGTCGCAGGGGGGGGGGGGGCCATCAGGGCCATGGCCCCCCCCAAAGGCAAATCAGGGGGGGGCCATCATATCATTTGGCCCCCCTCAAACAACCGATGGGCCCCCCTCGGCGTATGGGGCCCTGGCCCGTATTCGATTGTCACGAGGCTCGAGAAACCCACGCCAGCTATTAACAGCTCCCATATCGGTCTTTGAGGGTCCTACACTGACCTCTGAGGGCCCTTCAGTGGCGGTCAAGCGCCCAGGTTGACTGCTGAGGACCCACGTTGACCTCTGAGGGCCCTCCACTGGCCTTTGAGGGCCCTAAACCGGTCTCAGGGGCCCAACCGGCGGCTGAGGGCCTCGCACAGGCTCTGGTGGCCTCATTTCTGTCTCAAGACTAGCCTTTAATTGCCTCTGAGGGCCCGCACCGGATTCTGAAGACCCGATGTCGGCCACTAAGAGCCCGGATCGACCTCTTAGGGCCCCTCTTGGTCTTTGAGGGCCCTCCGCTGGTCTCTGGGGTCCAAAGCCGGCCTATGCCGGTCTTTTAGGGCCCCACACTGACCTCTAAGGGCCCCATGCTAGCCTGTAAGGACCCACATTAGCCTCTGAGGCCCCCGCACTGGATTCTAAAGACCCAATGCCAGCCTCCAAGGGCCCGCATCGGCCTCTGAGGGCCCATCTTGGCCTTTGAGGGCCCTCTGCTGGCCTCTGGGGTTCAACGCCGGCCCATGCCAGTCTTTCAGGGCCTCATTCTGACCTCTGAGGGCCCCATGCTGGGCTGTAAGGGCGCACATTAGCCTCTGAGGGCCCCGCACTGGATTTTGAAGACCCGATGCCGGCCTCTGAGGGCCCATCTTGCCCTTTAAGGGCCCTCTGCTGGCCTCTGGGGTCCAACGCCAGCCCATGCCGGTCTTTTAGGGCCCCACACTGACCTCTGAGGGCCCTATGCTGGCTTGTAAGGACACATATTAGCCTCTATGGGCCCCGCACTGGATTTTGAAGACCCGATGCCGGCCTCTAAGGGCCCGCATCGGCCTCTGAGGGCCAATCTTGGCCTTTGAGGGCCCTCTGCTGGCCTCTGGGGTTCAACGCCGGCCCATGCCAGTCTTTCAGGGCCTCATTCTGACCTCTGAGGGCCCCATGCTGGGCTGTAAGGGCGCACATTAGCCTCTGAGGGTACCGCACTGGATTCGGAACACCCGATGCTGGCCTCTTAGGGCCCGCATCACCTTTGAGGGCCCATCTTTGGCCTTTGAGGCTGGCCTCTGGGGTCCAACGCCGACCCATGTCGGCCTTTTACGACCCCACGCTAACCTCTGAGGGCCCATGCTGGCCTGTAAGGACCCACATTAGCATCTGAGTGCCCAAGTCGGTCTCTGATGGTCTCAAACTGCCCTTTGCAGGCCCTGTACTGGTCTCTGAGGGCCCTAAACTGGCCTCTAAGGGCCCAAACCGGCCTCTAAAGGTTCCACACCGGCCTCTGATGGTCCCATTTCGTCTCTGGGACCCAAACTGACCCTTATGTGCCTCTGAGGGCCCCGTACTGGCTTCTGAAGGATCGATGCCGGCTTCTGAGGACTCATACCGGTCTTTAAGGGCCTCACACCGACATCTGAGGTGCCCCAAACTGGCCTCTATATGCCCCCAACTGGCCTATGAGGTCTCTACACCGGCAACTGATGGCCTTATTATGTTCTATGGGGCCCAAGACTTACCTTTGGGCGTCACGCACTTGCCTCTGAGGGCCCACATCAGCCTCTGGGGCCCCATCTGGTGCCTTTGAGGCCCTTCGCTGACCCTTGGGTCCAACGCCGGCCTCTGGGGGTCTGACACTATACTCTAAGGGCCACATTGCAGCCTCTATGCGATAGGTATCGCCGAAGCGTTATCCATGAACCTATATAAGTGTAGGAACCATGGGTGCAGTGGGTGCAGTTGCACCAACAATAATTATCCAGTGGGTGCAGACAATGTATTGTGCACCCACAATAATCTGGAATAAAAACCCCTTTTCTCATCAACACTACTTTCGATGCAGCACGACAAATTCAGGATATTTTGCCCACTACTATCCATCTTTCGATGCATTTGCTACTGTGATGGTCTTCAAAACTTACATTTGTGCTCGAGTAAAAATAAGAAACGAAACACATGTGATCGAACACATACCGATGACCCACTGTCAAAAGTTTCCGCACGGTATCTTCGAAAATGGCTAAGTTAGCCGGTTTTACTTTTTGCGGTAGTCAATTCACAGTTGCGTGAATTATTGACATTACCAATGCTTCAAAATGAACTAACCTTTTCGACATGGTACACCCTCAAAGCTGGCAATGAGCCTCCGCTCGGGTGCCGCTCCCTACCCCCCCCCCCCCCCCGCTTCACCGGCCATGGCTGGATTTCTGCACCCATGCACTACGCCCGTGGGCCCCTTTTTAAGCTAGCACCGGGCCCCCCGGGTCAGTGCAGGGGCCCCTTAGCCAAGTTGCCCCCCCCCCAAACGCCAAGTCTGCGACCGCCCCTGACATGAACTTCTGTTTATAACGCTAGCTTTGACCCCAAAAAGATATCTCACGATGCCGGTCTTTTTTGAAGTTTTAGCATCACATTATTTCAGCTGTGAGAATTATGTAAGCGCGAACGGCGAAGTACCTATTATTAAACACAACAACAAACACAGCAGAGTGCTCGCCTCGCTGACGTGTTCGTTTCGGGAGCGTTTGCCGTTGCTGACATGAGTTTGTGTCCTCAGCGTTTGCCGACATGTGGCTGAACCTGGTCGGCGACGTCAAGGTGGCCGCTCGGGAGATTTCCGAATGTCTGAGGACGGCCGGTCGGCCTGCCCAGCAGCCCGTCTATATGTCACTGCCCAGACCCGGCAAGCACGGCACCACCTCCAAACAGGTAGGCCAGCCGAGCAGCGCGCACCACGGCACCACCTCCAAACAGGTAGGCCAGCCGAGGAGTGCGCAGCGAGGTACAGGGTCAGCTGCGTGCAGCAAACCAGCATACCTAAATGGAGGAATGGATATATATCGAGCAACTTCTTTATTTTTGTTCTATCTCATCCCTAAGAAATATTCGGTCAAATTACGCAAAGATTACGTGATGTTCGGTATTCGTAATGATTCCTTCACATCTCTTCACACGTCAACTGCGTTTTTATCCAAACCGAATCGAGATCGATTCCAAGATAGCTGGAAGCAATTTTCTTTTTCTAACAACGATATTCGCTTGTGGTTTTAAGGCCGCCCCACACTGGACCTCGCATGCGGGTTGCGAGTTTGCGGGTTTTGAGTTCGCGGGCATAATACTAATTCATAGAGTGATTAGACCGTTCCCTTATGGTAATTTCATGAATGCAGTGAAGCCGGTACACCTTCAGAAAAGTACATATAGTCGCAATACCAGCGCAACGAACCAAAATTCGACTCCAACGAAAAACCCGCAAACCTCGCAGAACTCGCAGGCCTCGCAGCGAGGAAAATCGAAAGATGACTCAAAATCAACTTTTGGAATGCGATGCAAGGTGGCTCGCAAGCTAAAAACATGCAGACTCGCTTGTTAGATGGTAGTGTGGGTCACTCACCTTAGATTGCATTATTTAATTTTGAAGACACCCGAAAATCCAAAAACCCGCAACCCGCATGCGAGGTCCAGTGTGGGGCGGCCTTTACAGTTAACTTTTGAACGGGGACATAAGCTTACAGACTACAGAGATATCCATCCGTCATGAGCCTAGCCACATTGCGAACAGTGATGTCTCGGTGTAAATGTCCCGTGTAAAAAAGTGTTTTAAGCATTGGCAGGTTATAATTCATTTTCCCAAGCTATAAACTTAATTTCTCAAGAAATGGATGAATAAACTCAGCATTTAAAGTTTGCGACATCGCTATGAAATGAAGCTTTTAGCTGCGACTGGAAGCACTATCCTATCGTGGATTGCTTACAGCTCAGGCTTTCCAGCGATATTATTTATGGAACACTTTTATTTCTTTTCCGTATCGCCGGCGGCTTCTGCGGGTGTTGTTATTTCAGCGGCTGTGTGGGCGATATCGCTCCAGGAAACGTCTCTCTGAACCACTCCCTCCCCGTCCCCGCGACCCGGGAGAGTGGGGTCGGGTCGGCTCTGCGGAGCCCGGCAGCGGCCAAGTTCGAACGGCTCAATAGATTTAGTTGCGGCGCCTTATGAGAGCGGCCCAGCGGCCTCCCATAGGCGGCGCTCGATCGGTGCCGCCCGCAGTCTCGGTACTCGGCGACCGCAGGCGGTGCGACCGAGTGGTCAGCTCAAAGTTACAGGTGTCAGAGACACAGCAGCACAGCAGCACAACACAGCACCACGGTGTTATCAGGCGTCACTGCAATTATACTGCAATTATAATCATGACAATTTAATCACCACAGCGTCGACCACCGTAACCAGCGCCACAATAACGGTGTCACTGCAGTCATCACAACATTGATCACCACAGTAGCCAACGCCAGAGCAGCTACTTCACCACAACTAACACAACCCTAACAGAGATGGATGCAACAACACTTCGTTTGTCATACCTCACAATTCGTTTGTCGTGCTTGACATCTTCTGACCTCTGTCCGTTCTCACCTTCCCCCGTTTTGCGTCAGGTGCGTCCCGGCCCGCTGGATGCCGAGGAGCAGGCCAAAATCTCCAAGTCGGGTCTGGAGATGAAGCTGGCCAACGACGAGATGGCCGCCGAGGCGGACAAGTGGCAGGAGGTCGCCGGCGACGACCAAGACAACGACATCCTGCGCCGCGCCAAGGCCATGTCGCAGATGGCTCTCGGCATGTACCAGTTCACACGAGGTGACGGCACGCTCAAGACCACGCAGGACCTCTTCACGCAGGCTGAGTACTTCACCGAGGAGGCCAACCGGCTCTACAAGGTGGTGCGACAGTTCTCCTATCAGGTGGGTCGAACTGGGAGGTGGGGTGGGTGGAAAAGTTGCCTCCATTTGCCGGTCATCCATGTTGAGTCGTCGGTCGAGATGCTGGTGGCATAGTTTTTCGTTCTTATACGGCGGATGGATCGTTGAGGAATAGCAGCAAGTCACATCGGGGACTGTTCGTGATAAGAACCCCTGGCCCGTTATTGAATGTCTGACATTCTTGACTGAAGGTCCATTTGTTTGATTACATATTGTCGGACCTTGGTCACTGTGTGTGTCGCCCAGCGGTCCCACGACATTATTAGGGTAAACTGTACGAACACGCATCATGCGGGGCGGATCCCTTGGAGGTCAGATATCGCAGTGCAATCGGCTGTAGGATGTCATCCAGTGCTTGTCAAAAAGTGGGCGTATACCACTAGGGTCATGTGGTTGTGTGATGCGTCGGCCGGAAGGCTTCTGATTGCGTGGTTCCGTCTACATCGAAAATGATTGGCACACCGATAGCCAGAGATCTGGCTCCCTGTTGTGTGTCCCGCTGTGAGCACTCGCCGCGGACCGCCAGCAGATACTATACCCTCCTTCAGACCTCTGCGTGGTCTAGCTAGAGACCATCCTTTCCCAGCCGTCCACTCCTCTCCCGTTCCCATTAGGTCTGATTGGGCGTCGCCACCACTTGGCAGCGCTACCCGTCGTCTTTTTGTGCAGGACATTGGTTGGGACCGCGGGACAGGCAGCTCGTCAGAGCCGCGTGTATAACATTGTCCTCGGCCGATTCATTAGCGCTCATTCAAGGACGGCGCCAGCCGCCAGGGACGCGCCGTTTGGCTGTTTGTGGGAGAGCCATAGAATGGTTCAAATATTTAACCTGCGCCCTGCTGGGGGGGGTGTTTGAACACCCCCCCCCCCTTGTGGTTTTTCGCGAATATCTCAAAAACGGCGGCGCGGAGCGCCGCCGTTTTTGGTACACCTTATCATACATCAATTCTACACATGTTGTGAAAATTTCAGACCAAGGTCATTCAAGGTCAGGTCACCAGGTCACTTGAAGTGACCTCACCTCATAAAAAGTTTCAATGTCTGTCATAGCTACACCGAGTGACCGATCGCTTTGAAACTTTCAGCGATTGCTAAGAGCAATAGCATGTACAAAATGTATATCTCAGAATTTTGATATCGGTGACCTAAGGTCAGGTCAATTTTGCGACCTCCCCATTACATATAACCCGGCAGTTGCTGGGGTATTTCGCCACCCACCGTTTGCTGGGGGGGGGGGGGGCGTTAAACGCCCCCAGCCGATAACTCGAGAACCAATAGGCGCAGCGAAACGCACGAGGCGGCAAACGAAAGAGCGCGACGAAACGCTTCAGATGAGCACTTTAAAGTTGAATTTTGAGGTCACAGGTCGGGTCAAGGTCAGGTCAAACACCTGAAATCGGGCTTTCAGTAGCATGGACTTCAGGACTTCGCAATGGGCGCCTCTCGCCATAAACTCTGTCAAAACGGTGCACAATCCATCTTATAAGGCCTACAAGAGTGTCAGCTTCATATAGGGGTCAGTCAAGCATAGGTCAGGGTCAAGGTCAGGTCAACCGGGTAGGCACATATCCCCGAAAATCAAAACTGATATTCGCAGCCTGTGACACATGTTTTATAGGTAATTTTGGGCGTAGAACACGATGGTGACATTCATTTTATCATATGTGTACGTGTTTGGCTCAAAAAGTTCAATTTAAGAAATTCATGTATCATGGTCGTGAAGAAGTCACGAAAAATTGCCAAGATTCAGTTCAAGATTTTGGAAAATGCGGAACGATAATCAATAATCGAAGATAGCCATTTGATTGATCATGGTAATGGCAGTCTAATGGCGTTTACGGCATGTCTGTATGTCTATTCTGTGATTTTATATGATTTTTTGAACATATGCCGTTTTTGGTCGAAAAGTCAGAAATCATGACGTCACTAAAACATCGATATCTCAAAAATTTTCCGACCGATTTTTTGAAACTTTGTCACAATAAACTTCAATCAATTCCCTACAGGTACCCAAATTTTGGCGCGCCTGCGGCGCGCCGTTTGTATGCTATGGCCCGGCGAAAAAAGTGGGGGCGTTTAACGCCCCCCCCCCCCCCAGCAACTCGCGGGATAAGTCAATGGGAGAAAATTGAAATGCGCCTCTTTTGGACGAAAGACATTATAAACACTCCCAAACACCGAATAACAAATGGTTTAGACACACAGAACATGAAAATGGTGTCCGTGACCCTTGTTTATGCCCTGAGGTCATCTTAGGTCACGAATGGTATCTAACAGTTTTTCGCAAATAACTTTTGATAGAGGCATGCTAGAGCGATGAAAACGCCTTAGATGTGTTCAGCTCGACGAAACGTATCGACTGATATGCAACATGACCCTTTCCGGTCAGGTCATGACCTTGACCTGAGGTCAAATTTTCAAGTTGACCTTTCAAGGTCAAGTTATAGTTCATTCGATGCGTCTTGACGAGAGGAACACGATGCCGGTAAAAGTAAGCTCGTACAAGGCTTGGGTCAAAAGTTATTGCAGAAAAACTGTTTCCGAAAAAAATCGGCTATTTTCGCAGTTTTTGCCCCCTGCAGGCAAAACCGTTGACGTTAGGTCAAATCTGAGAGGATTACTCAGAAAGGGCGTTAATAGGGCTATCGAATGCGCTTTTCCGCGGCGCTGTAGCTCTATTGGTTCCCGAGTTATGCGTTGGCTTCTTGGAAATTTTCGACATTCGACCTGGAAATCGGCGAAATTTTGCCTTCAATGACCTCTGGTGACCTGACCTTTGACCTGACCAAAAAATTGGCCGAAGTGATTTCGTCATTATTCTTGACGCTCTTTCGAACGCCGCCTTCCGCGTATCGCTACGTGGCCCAGGAGCCGAGTTACAAGGGGGGTGTTCAAACACCCCCCTGCAGGGCGTGGAAATCCAGGACCCCCAGCCGGGCGCGGGTTAAGCATGGTTAGCTTTTGGTCCTTTTTCGGCCAGATGTTACGGTTCGAAGAAGGTGTGTGGCTCTGAAAGAACCAATGCCGCTTATATTTCTATGCGAACATGTGGCCTTCGAGCTTCGTTAATCTCCTCCGTCTCTGATAGAGCATGTGGACCTTGGGACCCCCAGCTACTCTTCCAATACCCAGTCTTTTTGTCGCCCAGCGTGACGACCCCACAAAACTCAGCATCCGTGCCCGCCTGTGACAGCTTGCCGGTCGCCGCCGCAGTTGACAACTTTGTGGAGCTGACAGCGGGTGTTCCCGGGAGCTGACAGCGGGTGCTCCCGGAGTCTGGGGTGCCGGATCCCGGGAGTCCCTGGATTGAACTTTGGAAGCCCGCGGATATCCTGGATAATAGATATCTCTAGGAGCCTGGGACGGAGAGTTCCGGATGTCCGGGCCATGCAGGTCCGGGAATCAGGGACGAGAGTTTTGGAATTGCGGTGTACCCCCCTTCTCTCATCAGTCTGGGACCCCGCAAGCCCGAACGATGAGGGCTACCTGGGTTCAGGACATAACTCCCGAGATTCTAAGAATCCGCAGCAGGATTTCTCAAAAGATAGCGTGATCATCGGGAGTAAGGGCAGTAAGGTTAGGGAATCCTGATACTTGGAGTGTGTGTGTGTGTGGGGGGGGGGCAGGGGCTCAGATGTGCCCTTACGTAGAGTGCCAGGAAACACTTAAATGTCAACCAGCTGTAATCAGCATGTATGCCCTAGCTAAATATTTCTCGTTCATATCTCCTGCGCAGGTGCCACAAGGCGCCAACAAGAAGGAGCTGCTCGAATATCTGGACCAGATCCCGACGCACGTGCAGCAGCTGCAGTTCGCCGTCAAGACGCCCACCGTTGGCAAGGCGGCCACGTTCACCAAGGTCGACAACGTCATCCAGGACACCAAGAGCGCAATGAACGTCATTTCCAGGGTCGTCAATATCTGTTTCGCGTGCGCCAGCAAGGTAAGTGAGCTGCGGGACGCAGGTCAGTCGTGCCAGCGAGGCGCCTGCCCGGTCAATGCACGTGGCACGGCGATCCCGTTGCACCTCGCCAAGGGTTATATTTATTACTATTATTATTATATATTGCTACTATCACTATTTATCTGCACGCACAGGCGGCGCGCGAGAGTCCGCTCCTCCATCTTATGTACCTGCGCCTCAGATCGACGGTAACTAGGCCCGGTTTTGCTCATGTTGAACCGAATTCTGATCTGCCACCCACCCGCTTCATTACTGCCCGCTTTTATCACCTCTTATAAACTAAACTAAACAAACCAACTAAACGTTCACCCCTCAACTCGCCAATGGAAACTGCTGTAGTCTGAAACTGGAACTGCCTATTTCAGTCTCAGCCCGATTGCCGTTTATAGATCGGTTGATTACACGCTATCCTATTTGTGGTTAGGATTCAGATTACATCACTACATTGGGCCCGGTACATTGGCTGGCGGGCTTATTTTGGTGGTCCAAATCTCTTTGTCACCCTACAAAGCGCTGACCATGACCTGACCAGTGCCCATCCTATTTCCTTTATGCATATTGGTGGGCGCGGGGCTCGTTAAAGTTCGCTATAGATTAATAAACGCGCCCATCTCACCGTTAACGCCTGGCATTAAAGCCGTTCCGGTGCCAGGCTGACGGCGGTTTATTACCTGGGGCCGGCAGCACGGCCTGCCAGCTCCGTCCGGGCCCATCTTTTGTTGATTGGCGGCCCTGTCTAAGCCCACCCAGAGTGGTACTAGCTCCTGTCTCAGTCCGCTCTCTGCAGACGACTCTCTAAACGCACTCCGCCATATGCAAGTGCCCTTGACCCTCCAACAGACTCAACCCCGGACGGTGGTTCTGCCGTTCTTACTGGGCAGATTTTAACATTATAAGGATTTAAACTATGCAACATATAAATCGTCAGCTGGACTTTTTCCGTTTTGTTTGAGCACCGCGGGCTCATTACTGTTGACTGTGCGATCACTATGTGTCTGGCGGTGTATCACCTGCGCCTCTATTTCATCTCAATGTGCCGTGCACGGGTGTTCCAACTCTAAGCGCGGACCTCCCGACTCTAAAGGGACGTCCTGTACAAAGCTAACTGCGCCGTGTGCTAAGCGTTGCCTTCTCTCGCCTATACGCTGTGCCAGCTGAACCGCTGACCGGTTGGCTGAGCAGGACGTGTCATCGGACCCGCCCATTTGACCTGTCACGACCCCGCCCGCCCACAATGCACCAGCCCGAGCGGTAATGCAGGATGGGTCTATAGAGAGATTGGGGAGGGAGCTGTTAATGGGAGAGGCATAGGTGAGAGGGGCGTTTGGCGTTGCGGACTGGCGGGTAGGTCCACCCTGGGACGTCAAGTGTCCGGCTGGCTGTGTCCTCGTGATGCTGGGCACACTGTGTGACCAGATACATACTGGTACAGCTATCTGTCTGTCTGTCTGTCTGTGTCTGTCTGTCGGACTGTCTAACCGACTGGTTGTTGGCTGGTTGGCAGTCGGTCGGTTAATTGGACAAAGTCTGGCAGACAGACTGATAGACTGGCTGGCAGACTGACAGACTGGCTGGCCGATGGCTGGACGGCTGGCTCGGTGCCGCGTCGGTCTGGCAACTCACACTGGCCAGTTGCCAGCTGGTGCCAGGGCGGCTCATCAGCGGATCTGGTGTGATCGGCGCTTTATGAAAGCCACCGGTCGTCTGATTGATTAACAGGTGGCCTCACGATCCGTGCAGTGGGGAGCGCGCAGTAACGGCGGCGGGCGTAAAGCCGCGTCACGTCACGGTGATATCTCGGTCGGCTAGCTGTCCTGCGTCCAGCTGCCCAAACGAATCGCTGAAACGAACTCAGCGCAAGCAGTGCAGGTCCTAAAATTTGACCTAAGTCAACACTCACGGCAAAATTAATGACTGTTTACTGATGATTCTCCGACACGAATTCTGTTCCTTTTAGCTAAATGAGTACCTTCATAACGGCTATTTGAAACACCATTCGGCTGACTGAAAAACAGGCGTCGCTTTCAGAACGAGCTTAGGAGATCAAAACGAATTTAAATCGACGAAAGCCGAAGTAATCCCTAATTTTTAGTCTACTTCAGGTGTCTTTTGTTTTATTTTTGCCCATTAGACGACAAACGAGCAATTGCATTTCGTGACATTTCCCCGTTCTATTGCCTAGTTCCACTTGGCTATATATAACAATATAATTATGACCTCCAGTGTTTTTAATTGCCCCAAAGGGTGTGTGCCCATTACATTACTCGACTCAATAAACGATGATTAAATAAAACAAAAGCTTTGGACCTATTGCTATGCCTAATATCTTGCTTCTGCCGATTTGAGCAGACATATAACTCGTATTTCAGTGCCACTTTCGCGTATATGAGTGTTTTGCACGGGCATCGCCATCAGTCTAGTTACGATTTTATCATGTACAGTTATGCACCTTTTTACATGTTCCTTTTGCCTGGATCTGGGAACTTTGGCGTAGATTTCGAGCGCGAAGCGTCCCTTTGGACTCTGCGCTCGAACGATTGGGTTTGGGGCGGCAATCAGACGGAGGGACTGGGGCGGGCTGGGGATGGGCCGGGGAGCGGCGCATGAGTCTCGTTGGCTGGCGGCGGGCCCCACCACCTGGACCCCGTCTTCTCGCTCTGTCTCTCTTTCTGTCCGGCTGTGCCCGCCCGGAGCACTGCCGTGCCGCCCGGTGACCTGACCTGACCTGACCTTTGGCATGTCATTTCAGTACGAGGTGTCGCTGCCGGGCCCAGTAGAGGTGCGAAGCTTGAAGCCATTTCCGTTTATGTATACCCTTTATCCGACAGATGTGCGTAGATTAGCCAAGGTATCGGTCGTGTCGGCGTGCTCGTGTCGTGTGCCGTGCAGTCGTCACCCCGTCGGAGTGAGCTCCCACCACGCCTTCCCTCTCGCTCGCGCTCGCTCGCCGCTCTCTCTCTTCCACCTGTCGCTCTCTATCTCTGGCTCTGCCTCTACCTCTGTTGTTTCGTCCGGTCACGGTCTGCGCCACCCGAGTGTCGGTCGTGCCGGCTGGCGCGTCCCGACCGTGTTTGTGTGCGCGTGTGGCGCCTCCTCAGTGCGGAGGACGCACTCCTGCCTGTCGACCGCTCTCTCCCAGGCCGCAATAGAGGCAGATTGGCGTCACCTTTGAGCTAGATTCGCCGCCAGAGCCAACCCTGACTGTCAGTCGGTGCCGGGAAGATGATCTCAGGAAAAGTCGCTAAATCAAAGGCTGAGACAAGACACCTTGGTATTCTCTTGATATGTGTCCATTAGCACGCAAATAAAAATAGCATTTAATTGTGATTTGTACACGTATTGAAACGTGTGTTTCCTGAGCTAACCCCGGCACCCGACAGACGGCATTGGTGGCTCAGCCTCTACTTTTCTCTCTTCTTTCCCTTATCGCTCAGTATGTATATGCAGAGATTCACCCTGTCTATACGTCTCTCTTTCTCTCGAGATGACCTCTGTGGTGTCATCACTTCTCTCCGGAGCCGGTCGATACCAGCAGAAATACAGCCACTGTCACGCGCTGTGTCAAACACACACACACCACCGGCTGGCGGAGCTGCTTCTCCGTCCGCCGTCTGACCAGCCAGCTCTCTCGAGCTTCTCCGGCGCGGCCTATTGATCGCGCCTTGAGCCCACCTTAACTGCCGGCAGCGCGCGCTCGGCAGCTCCGCCGCCCGCGGCCGCTAAACTGGCTGCCTTTCTGCTGGTGCTCGAAGCCCGGCTCCGGAGCCGTCTCGAACTTTCTCGACTTTCTCTAATTGCTTTCGCTTGGGTGTGTACATAAGGCGAGCCCGGCTCGGCTGGTTGCAGTCTGGTATAACAGTTTGTGTATGTTTGTGTGTGCGTGTGTGTGTGTGAGGGTTTTGTTGCAGAGTGCAGTGCGGTGCTGTGCGCGTGAAAGAGGATGGGCAGCCACTAGGCTGGGTGGGTGTTGTATGGTAGGAACTAGGAGTATGGTATCTTTTCATTTTGGACTATTAACCGTTGTTTTTGATCATTCATTATGCTTTTCGTGTCGATTTCTGAGCTTTGGGTGGAGCCTCGACCGTGTCTAAAGGTTAAAAGCAACAGATGAACCCCTGACGTTTACCGTTGCAAGTGCATCCGTCCTATCCTTACTCGAGTCTAACCTATCGTCATCCTTTCTCATACTTCCCTGTCCCGTACTGACAGTCACCCCACCAGACGACCGTTGGGGATAGTTCCAATGGGCCCACTCCGCTGGGATAACCGCTTGAAAGACTGGGTAGCCTGTCCCACAGTGCGACTCTCCGGTCAAATAGAGATGAATTCGGCAGACCCGACCTACCAATCGATGATTCGGCCGGTCCAATCGGTGGCCCTTTTTAGCCTATAATCCCGTGGCCCTTAAAATGGTCTGAGGGTATATCAACATGGTCTATCGCATCCCAGTACCAGGCAGGAGGCTTCAAGCATGATTCCAGCCGTGTTATTGACCGGCTAATTAAACGTTTTGATTGTATAAAATTAGGGTACAAAGCGTGCCGGACGATGAATTGCTTGATCAGTTTTCAAGAATGCGGCGGCTCCATCCAATGCTTGAAAATCACACCAGTTATTTTATTAACTTTTTGCTTATTTCTGAATTGAGAAACGTTGGCGATATGAGTTCAATGTTTTCTGGATTTCATGGTTTTACCGCTGAGCATACTGTTTTATCTATTTTTAAAACCCCATTATAATTCGTGCTTATTTTATGAATTATTTATTCCATCAACACAACCTCCCCGATCACCCCGGACCGCCGTGTGTTCGCATGCCCCCTCCCCCACCGTGACATCTATCTCACCCTTCCCGTCCTACCCCACCCCACCCCATGCTGTGCTGTCCCTCCCCTCCCGGCTCCCACTGACCTGTGGCTGTGTCTCCGCAGTACAATCTGGACTTCCGCGGTCTGTCGCCGCGCGGCCCGTCCGCCTCGCCGTACCGCGGCTCAGAGGGCGCTGACGACGTGCTCGGCTCGGGCTCAGCTGGCGGCAGCGGCGGAGCTCAGACGGCCTCCTCCGACCCCAACATATGACAGTTGGGGATGGCTCGGAGGGGCAAGGGAGACCCGCGTCGCACGCGGGTCTCTTTCCTGCTCTTCTAAGCCATCGAGACAACGTATACTGCAGAGGGTGGGACGGCGTAATGGGGAACTAGAGGTTCCTGAGCTGCCGCCAGGTGGCAGCGCCTGCACCTGGCGGCAGGCTCGGTGAGCGGAGACGATGGGGTCGATGGACGATGCCTTGCTCGACATTTGGGGTCTCTGATTTACCAGCGGAAGTTTTGTTTTGGTTGTAAGGAGAAGAGAGCATCTCTCGAAGCGTCACAGTCTTATCTCTTAGTTCGCATAGTACCTACCTACGACAAAATTTTGAGTCAGTTTAGGTAGGTCAACGAAACCCTTTCAGTTGAGTAGAGCTGGGTGGACAAAGTTGCCGAATTGGTAACTTGTGACTTCCAGCACTCTTGGACGTCATTAACTTTGTCTGGAAGCTGTGACCGTAAAAGTCACCTGATACTGAGCAATATTGACTCGGCAAGCCTGAACTTTATACACTTTGAACGCACATTTGACACATTTCATGTTCATAAATTTCTAGCTCGCCCCTGCATGCTTAAATTTTTCCGGCTCATCACATCCCATTTCAACGATGACAAGGTTATTTTCTATTTGAATTTAGTCGCGTCTCGACAGCAGTCACGCCTTCTCCGAACCGCTTATATTTCAATAAAAATGTCGAATTTCAATTAAAATGTTAAATAATTTCATGAATGGAACAGGAAAACAAACAAAGTGAGGGAGAAGTGTCAAAAATGTATAAAGGGAGTGTGCCAAATCGATTGCCTAGATTTATCGAGTAGTTCGGTGTCCTAATGGCGCGGCGTGCGCCTACCAGATCAGAAAGATGTTAGATCGCAATAGACCATTCTTGAACGATTACATGTAAAGCGGGCCTCAGATTTGGCCCCTATGCCGAGCTTTCCATGTTAACAAGGTCGATTCTGCGCGCCGCTCAATGTGACAAGCCATACTGGCTGGTGTGGGTAGTCGCCGCTTGGAGTGAGTCTGCGTGATTGCGAATCATGTTAAAGATGACGGCTTCCCTGAAGTCTCTGACACCCATTGACGGTGAATCTTACTCATTGTGCATACCTGCAATACCCGATGTCAACGCAACCCTCAGTGCCAGTAGGTGTACTGGCGCCTTCAATTCAATTAAACAACATTAAGTTGCCCGAGTCAATTATCATTTTCTCCTTGTTTCTCGCAAACGATTCAACTGTTGCCATTAACCCGCGCCCTGGTGTGGGTCTGAGCCACCTTCGCCCTGGTGGGGGGGGGCCAAAATGACCCCCCCCCCGTCTAACTCGAAAACGAAGAGGGCTAGGAAGACGCGGAAAAAAGCAAACGAAAGCCCATAACAAGTACGTTCGAAAGTATTTCGGTCATTTTTTCGCTAAGGTCAATATTGAGGTCGCTAGAGGTCATCATAGGTCAAATTTCAGTGTTTTCGGTGTTGCCGGACATATTCCGCTGTAGCTCGGAAACTAGAAGAGCTAGAGAGCCGCGGAAAAAAGCAATCGATAGCTCTTTTCAAGCTCTTTCGCCAAGGTTCGTCAGATTTGACCTCAGCTCAACGGTTTGGCCTACAGAGGTCATGCAAGGTCAACTTGGCAAATTTCGTTGAAAATGTTTTTAACTATAGCATGCATTCACGAGAAAATAGAGAAACGATTCATGCACCATCGTGCTTGGCTCGTCGAGACGCGTCGAATGATATATAGTTTGACCTCGAAAGGTCATTTTGAAAATTTGACCTCAGGTCAAGGTCATGACCTTACCGAAATAGGTCATGCTGCATATCATTCGATCCGCATTGACGAGACAAACACGATAAACGTCGAACGGAGTCTCTATCTCTATTCAATAACAAGTAAGTGCAGAAAAACCGCTGGTGACCTCTGGTGACCAGGGAGATGACCTAGCGTGACCTCAGCGAGGTCACAAGCAAATGGTTTCACATGGGCTGTGATTTGCTGACCCAAGACACTTCAATAACGAAATATAGGAACAATCACGCCCGATTTAGCTGAAAAACAACTACTTTTCGATTCTCCCATTGACTTATAATGGGGAGCAGCGATGACCTGACCTGACCTTAGGTCACATTTATAAAAAATCCGAGATAGCCATTTTGTAGAGCTGGGCGACATCTTCAAGTACTGTAAATTTTACATCGATCGGATAAAAGCTGTGCCTTTGAGAGAGCTTTGAACTTTTTTAGAGGTGGTGTCAGTTTTGGTGACCTTGTGACCTGACCTGACCTGACCCGAACCCCCCAAAAAAGGACATGATGTAAAAATGTTGAATAAACAGCTATACAAAGTTTCAGGGCGCTAACTCAAGTGGTTTCTGAGTTATCGCTGAAAAACCACAGGGGGGGGCCAAAATGGCCCCCCCCCCCCCACCAGGGCGAAGGTTAATTGGGATTTTTTTCTGATACGGAGTTCCACCTCACTGCAGTGCTCCCCCGCCAGCCCAATGCACCCTGCAGCAATCTGACAGCAATATTCCCGCGGCGTCTACCGGCCACCCTGCCCCTCCGTCCCTGACCGTTCCGTGACCGACTGTGACCCAGCCCCCTGACCTGGACCGGTGGCCGTGCGACAGGTACAGCCCCTGCTTCACTGTGTGTCTAGCAATACTACTGCCAAAGTGTGCGGCCACGCTCGCAGCGCCGCCTGGGGGCTTCCGGGCGAACTAGGCTCACGCGACGAACGGATTATTTGCTCAGAGGTCGCGCGGCCTGGCGGCGGCTGGCGCTGTGCCGCCACATATCACAGAACTGCGCGCTCCGGCCCGGCGGGACACAGGGTCGTCAGGGGCCGGCGGGGCCCCCAGGGGTCGGCACGGGCCAGAGCGGGGCCCATGGGGCGGCAGGGGCCTCTGGCGGTGACAGGATGGCCCTGAGAGACGGCCGGCCCTCGCCCTTCTCTGAATGTTCTCTTATGTACTCCGAGCGCCCCGGCGCCCGCGTGTGAAAATCATAAAAATGAATGCTTCCAAAAATGTTAGAGTAAGCATCTCAGTGGATTACTTGCCAAGCTAGCTCAAAGTTGTTATACAATAAATTATCGTAAACATGTTAGATGTAACTTATTGTTGTTAAATACCGTTAGCGAGAACCAACTGTTGCAACAACCTGTTAAAGTAGCTACTCGCATAACATATTGTTATGGTTAGTACCTGCTGCACGGATGCTAGTTATCTGTTGACTGGAGTGTACGGGGCCGCTGGTTCCGCCGGTATATAGCAGCCGTCAATATCCGATGCAAGGTCTCCTGGTTATACCACGGCTATCTGATCGGGAATCTGGCCGCCCGTTATCGAGCAGAGACCAGCGGACTTGGTTTGATGCAACTCTGCTGAATGCGACACTGAACATCACCTCTATACCCCGTTGAGTTGTGGCCGTTCCAACCTCAGTGTGAGAGGCGCGCGCCGGTTAACTGTATTTAGTCGTCGTTTCAGTCCCCGTGCATGTGCATTGTTGAATTTCGCACCGTTTTTGTTTCGCCTTACCTATTGTTTGTCCCGATGCTGTCCTCCTTTCCCTCGGCTCTTTATCAGTGTATGCGTAACGCTGCTCTGAGTGTGCTGCGAAAATGCCGTGTGCGATTTTGCTCGCCAGTTTTAAAAGTTGTATATTTTGAACGGTATTAATAATAAATTATCGCTGTGTAAGCATGTTTTCGACAGCAGACGATGGAAACACCAACCAGCTATCGATGATTCGACATCTCTAAACGCTTATAAGTTACATTACCGACAAAAAGTCCGTTCAGAGGCCACTTTTACCAACAGAAAAATAGCCGCCTGCCGGATTTTTTTTTTCCTAAAGGCCGCTTCACATACGGAACTTTAACGGTGAAGCCCTATCCGCTTACGTGCCCAACGCATTTACACTCGGTATGTGAGGCGATCTTAAGGCAAAAAATTCCGGCAGGCGGCTATTTTTCTGTTGGTATAACTGGCCTCAGCTCAACTATGTAGACCTCGCACAAAACCAAACATTATCTCAGTCGAGTTTTACGCTCAGTGCTCACTTCGGTCAGGACAGCATCCCGCTTCATTGGCACGGAACAGTACTGCCACATCTGAGCAGCATATCACAACACCCCCCCCCCCCCCCCCCCCCCCCCCACATAGCACGCAACATGGACAGACGGACACTCGACTGAAACAGGCGGACCACTGTTTCGCGACTGCCGAGACGGAATCGGATACTGTGTACAGATCACCGGAAAACACACCGTCTCAGGTCACACCGTAGTCGTACTGATCGAGTCAGATGACCGCATTTGACGCCAAATAACCTCGTCGAATGACGGCATTTGACGGCAAATTATCACGTCAAGTGAGCGCGTTTGACGCCAGTGATTGTCGAAAGGCCAGGCGGTCGCCCTCGATGGCTTATTCAGCTGTTTAGGGCTATCAAACCGCTAAGTGTCAGGTGACTGGTAAACAACGGTTCTCCTGAAATGATCATCGATCAAAAAAGTGACAGCACCACATTGACACCATGAGTGAGGCAACACTTGATTTGTCGATTATATCCAATAGCCATACGCTTCGTGACATAACCAGTAACCGTATCGTACCCATCTACCGAGACGTCATTAAGTCGGTGGACGAAACGGGCTACTGAGAAACGATGGTGGTGCTCTTACATCTTACTTTAAACCCATGATTGATTAATCAAGCCCTACCTGCAAATATAGCCAGACAAAATAAATTGCACACCACTCAGTAACAATCAATAGTATGCGAACACTGCTACCTAACCCTCTTCCCCACACACCACATACACAGTACACACTCATTCGCACGCCCACACAAACGTTACTGAAAGAACAGGATCGCCCTAACTTCCCTCCGACAACTCAACGTTACATTTCCTCGTATCTCTACAACATCACTTTTTGCTTCTCTTCCTCGCTCCTCAGCTTCCCGCCTCCCCCAGCACTCCCCACGACAATTTCCCTCCCCTCCCGCTCTACCACTGCGCATCAGTCGCCAATAGGTAATCTATATTCTCCCTCTCCTTCCCTCACGGCTTGCCAGAGATGCTCGAGAACGCATGGAACGACGATTCGGGCAGCGTCGTGACCAGCGCCGTGTTCTGCCCGCGCGCGCGCACACACAACACCGCCGTGGTGATTGAGGCCACGAACAGCAGCAGCAGAATCACCACCAGGCTGATGACGAACGTCAGCACCGACACACACACCGTGTCGAAGCGCACGTCGAGCGCCGTGTCGTGCGGCAGGAGCGTGCGCGTCGCCTCTGTAATGGCGATGTCTTGCGGAGCGACGACGCGCAGTCGCCGGGCGAGGCGGACCGGCTCGCGGGCCTCCGTGCGCTGCTCGGTGGCAGAGGATGAGCCGTTGACCGAGCGACGAGACCGGCTCAGAGCCTCCGAGACCTGTAGGGAGCGTTGGGGACTGTTACAGCCCACAGGTGACAGAGAAGGATGCATCAGAGCGTGAGGAGAGGCTAGTGCGTCAGGTGCGAGGCGTGCGTTGCGGTGCAGTGTCCGCAGTAATAAGTGAAAAAATTAGGTGGTCTGAATTTTTTTCAGCCGTTTGCATGTGGGTCGTAATGAGTCACATAATTAGGATGAATGTGTTGCGACGTAAGCTAGTCGGCAGTTACGCCAGATTACACCAGGATTACAGGCAAATCACAGAACAGCAAACTACAGAAGCGCGGACACCTACCGCAGTGACGTCCTCCTCACAAACGCCGCACTCTCCCTTGCACAGGTCCAGATTACACTCAATGATGACATCCATCTGTTCCGGAAACTTGAACGCCGAAAAGTAACTGAAAAAGACGGTTATAATATTAGAGGGAGACCTGTCACTTATCTGTAATGACATGCATTGAACGTGCTACTCACCCGTTTAAATCCAGGTATGCATATCTACCCATGTTGTTTCGCTATATGGCAGTGATGGCACTGCACAAATGTGCGCCGCTACTTTTTACTTGACAAGGCATTAGTTCGGGCGTCGATTTGTGCGTCCCTTTGCCTACCTGTAGGCCATCACCGCCTTGTCCTGCCTTGTCTTCAACCAGGGGGACAGCAGGTTCGGCTTCATCGTACAGCCGACGTCGTCAGTCAGGTTGACGTGGGACGACCTGAAACATTTGACGTCAGCAATGACGCTGTGACGATTCACTCGCCGACTTTACCAGACAGGTCAACGTGAGACGACCTAATAAAAAGTGTGACAATGACTGTGACGTTTTACTCCATACGAGCGCTTCGTTTCACGCAGTACCTATGTCAACACGGAATGTAGTCATTGGCAGTGTCTCGAACTGTAAAAACTGCGCAGCTGTTGCGCTACATCGTGTTGTAAAACAATAGGAAAGAGGAGACCAATCACAGGCCAGTCACGTTTTCGTTCTCTATAGTCCGGGTACTACTGTCAGCTGTGAGCTGTGAGTGAGCCATTCGATTCGTGAATTTAGCTCTGTGTAGTCCAAGCATCGGCACGCACTCCCTCTCTCTCCCTCTCTCTCTCTCTCTCTCTCTCTCTCTCTCTCTCTCTCTCTCTCTCTCTCTCCCACTCCTCACCCCCCTCTCTCTCGCCCCTCCCTCCCTCCCTCTCTCTCTCTCTCTCTCTCTCTCACTCTCTCTCTCTCTCTCTCTCTCTCTCTCTCTCTCTCTCCTCTCTCTCTCTCTCTCTCTCTCTCTCTCTCTCTCTCTCTCTCTCTCTCTCTCTCTCTCTCTCTCTCTCTCTCTCTCTCTCTCTCTCTCTCTCTCTCTCTCTCTCTCTCTCTCTCTCTCTCTCTCTCTCTCTCTCTCTCTCTCTCTCTCTCTCTCTCTCTCTCTCTCTCTCTCTCTCTCTCTCTCTCCGTGAGATGTCGATCCAACCTCGCGCGTTTCACCGAGTGAAGAAAGTCATCTCCAAGACCAGCCGGGTGTGGGGTGAAATGTGTACGCAGGGCTATCACCCCAACACCCCGAGATCAATGGTCACGAGTGGCTCAGTCACGGTGTCACAGCTGCACGCGATGTGAGCCAGAGCAAAACATGACAGTTGATAGTGGAGGAAAGGGTGCTAAAGTGATGCGTCCCATGAAACTGTGAATGATCGCCGTAAAGTTTTTGCCCTGATAACAATTGTATCCCTTAAACGCAAAGGTGACAAAACTATAAAGATCTACGTTTTCACATACGTATTTCGATCGTAAGTCCATACATGACTTTTCTTCTTTTTTACAACTAATACTTAAGTCCAGGTGCATGACATTTGTGTTTTGCTGAATGTCTCAGAGTCTCCCACCACCAATTTTCGCCGTTTGGTTCACGCAATGTCCCCATGACCAATTATTTTCACTGAGCTCTGCTCCCCCTTCGTCTCACCTGTCGCCGTTCATGGCGATGCACTGTCGCACGCGCACGTCGACGTCGTTGTCTCCCTCCGCCTCGACGACCATAGTGAGGATGTCTCCAATCTTCACCAGACCGTCCACCGAAGGAGCGTACGGACCCTGGCCGATCTGGCGGCAGCACGAACAGCGGATAGTAAATAGTTATAACTCAGAGAGATTGTCCTGAACTCCTGACCGATCTGGCGGCAGCACGAACACCGTATAGTTATAACTTAGAAAGATCGTCCGTACGGTCCCTGACCGATCTGTTGGCAGCACGGACAGTGCATATGTTGTAGAACCGTCCTTACGGACGGTGGGCTATCGGTTAGATGCGCGGTCAATGAGCAGATGATACGGAGAAAGGTGCGGTACTGGGCCTTCTCTGATATGGCCGACGTCACGGGTAATGCGCGTAAAGTGTGTGCGTGTTTTAAGCGCAATGCGGAAACGACATTCACCGGTATACTAACGACTAACGAGCGACAAGAGGTTACCGATAAGCTTTACTCTACGTACTAAAATTGAATACCGGGAGATTTCAGCAAAGCTCGGTGAGAGGCAATGGCTCATTGCGGAACGAATGGTTATAAGGAGTCACGGGAGTATCGGCACAAAAACTCCGGCCTCGGTCGTTTCGCCGCTGGCTGACCGCCGGTGAGCCCACCACGACCAGATCCGACGGGCCATGCTCACACGCGCCGGCACGTTGCATGAGGACGGTCAGCGACTTTTCTGCTTTCGCTGTCACCGGTAGACCTCCGACCGCGCAGAGGGCTGGTAAAAACCTCCGGTCGGCCGCGTGCCGCCACTGACCGCGCACTTGGAGTGCTCCTCACCCACCGTGCCGCTTCGAGGACCCGCCGACCGCAGTCCGGTTGAAGCAGGTGCGGTTTTGCCGCCTTGCGGCTCGCGTCGCACGCGTCGCTGGCGGCCCGGCGCGTGCGACGCGTCTGACACGGGTTACGGGCGAGCCGTTTGCGACCGGCAGGAACTGCTCCTTCTTTGGGGTGGACACGGGTTGAAGAGAGAGTAGGTAGTTGGATTGCTGACAGTCGTAAGTCATCTTGTTTTTTTTTTTCGGCACAGATCGGATTGCGTGAGAGCATGGGTGACAAAGTCGCGGGTCGGACCGGTTTGATTAGATGAAGTGCAGCTATTATTCACTTCAGCGCTAAAGTAAGCATGAAATCCCACGGATTTAGACTACGCCTGTCGGTAAATGGTCAAGCGACTAACATTTCTTCCAAAACATGAGGAAGCGTTTCTAAAACTGGTGAGGATCAACGGTTTTACATAGGTGAAATCACTTGTTTTACATTATGTAATGATATGAAATGCTACTCACGTGCAAAGATGCGAGCCTGTTCAACTTTTACGTGCTCGTCTACCTACAAAGACCAAAAACTTGTCCGATCTTTGCATGACTTTATCATCACGCCTTCCTCTCTACGGCTGCCGCTGCCGGCTCACCTGAATGTCCAGCACCGCGTTGGCCTTGCTGACGTCCTCATCAGTCTCGAAGGTGACCTCCTTCTGGTGCAGCGTGTCCACGTTGAAGGCGTACGACACCACCTTCTCGTTGACCTGCCGCGCTCCGTGCGGACGCAGCATGCAGCGGATCTTGCGGGCAGAGTCGAACGCCTGAGAAAGGGGGAAAACGGACGGCGGTAATTAGTCAGTTATCTGTCATGAGTGTGACACAAATATGACGCTTACTCCTTACTCATTTCTTCTCATTCTTGTGAGCTGCAAAGGCTTAACATTCATCAACGACATCAGATTCATTCGTAAAGATGAAACACAATTGATTGGATAGCGTTCTTGGAGACTAATTCAGCATGCACCAGATTTGTGCTCACGTGCAAGAAGCTGACATGCACATTCAACATATGGCTCCTGCCGTGAGAGACCCTGGAGCGCTCGGGCTGCCGTGATTTGATTGCGGCGGCCCGCCGTTCACGATGAACGGGTAAGTAACGGAACAAAAACTGCCAGCTTCGGCCTCATTCTTCACACGATAATTTGTACCTTCAGAGGGAAGCGGCGGGCAATAAATCTACAACAATCGCCGTAAGTAACAAATTTTTCAAAGGGCAGTGAACGCACGAGACGCTTGAAAGGGTCGGATTGGGAAATCTTTTCAGGCGTCGGAGATTTATTTGAGATCAGACATCCTTGAGCAGCACACAAACGAGGGTGATTACTGATTAGTGATTAGTGCATTTTTGACGCCATCACCGACATCCTCAGATGGCAAACAGGTGAGGTCATAGTCTACAGAAACGCGTCCATTCATCACCATTTGTTCTCCAACCGATCTAATTGCTCACAATTCTCATTACCTAGACTCCTGGCATTCTTTACGTGAGGCCAACATCCCGGTGCGTTTACTCGCCCGGCTCATGAGCTGTTCCACTGACAATGACCGGAGAAGGGCAGAGTTTCCGCCGGGTCGGAGACACCCGACGGCGGCACAGGACAATGTGCCACGCTTCAGGACGCCTGACGTCATGGCACGCTGGGCCATAATAAAGCCGCCGAGCCTGGCGGTTCAGCGCCCGACTGCGTGAGGTTCGCGCTCTGCTTATCGCAGTCAGTCCCGCTGACTCCGCCGTCCCCTCCTCTGTCGCCGTTGACTCCGCTGTATAACAGTTGCCCTTAACTCTATGTCCTGTTCGGTGTCGCCTCCCCCCCCCCCCCCCGGCTACCGCTGTCCTTGCTGATGTTTTCTCTTTTCCACATTCCACAACGGTTTTTTTCCTTACCCTTTTTCAGTTTAATGAGATTACCCTTTTTAATGTTTAATATTAACCCGCGCCCCGCTGGGGGGGGGGGGCAGAATCTGCCCCCCCCCTCCCGTTTTTCGCTAATAACTTCTCAACGCGTTACGCCAGCGACGCCAAACTTTCAGTACCTTATCATACATCAATTTGACACGTTCCCGGAAAATCTGAGCGAAATACGTTGGAAAATTTTTGAGAAAATGACGTTTTAGTGAAGTCATTTTGTCTATCAAATGGCAATCTCGGTTTTTTGAAAATTTTGGATTTTGGCCCAATTTTTTTCAAAAACTGACTTTTTTGGGAAAATATTTATAAAATCCAAAATTTTGAGTGTATCGAAAAAACCGGAATACATGTCAAAGAAGTGGTCTATGTGCACCTACATACCAATTTTTAAAAGTATCGGTTCAAAAATGTGGAAGTTATTCAAAATTTTATGACGTCACGAAACACAAAAATTTTAAAAAATGATTTTTTTGGAAGTTCTAGACCTCGTACGAAAACAAAAAATAGCACCATTCGATTCGCCGTGAAAAACTGCATCAGATAGACACCTTTTTAGGCCTTAACAACCAACTTCAAAATTTGACCTCACTTGACCTGACCTTGACCTGACCTCGACCTGAAATTCATCCAGAGGTGGTCCATATCACTTATTGAGTGTGCCTATTGAGTTCTATGAGTAAAATGACCCATAAAACATGTGTCGCACATGCTCTTTTCTATATTTTGTTTTTGGTGACCTGACATGACCTGACCTGACCTTGACCTTGACCTTTGAATGACATTGCATGCCACGAATATTGTCTTGGTAGTCTAAGAACACGTTTTGGGCAATCAGTCTCAGTCCATTCTTCGGCAACTACGGTGCAAGGCCGATACTGTAGGAACTTGCATCTTGTACCCTTGACCTGACCTTGACCTGACCTCTGACCTACTTAAGCAAAAAATGGGCTCTTGAGATCCACCTTGTTGAGAGCTTTCGATTGCCGTTTTCCCCGTCTTTCTGCGACCATCGGTTCGGAAGTTAGACAGGGGGGGCAGAATCTGCCCCCCCCCCCCCCCAGCAGGGCGCGTATGGCTGAATAGCCCAGCGGGGCGCGGGTTAACCCTCGCATGTGTGCGGCGTTTGCCAGCTTCTAATGTGTAGGGGGGGGGGTCGGTTGGACCCCCCCCCCTTGCCGTTTGGCCCCTGATCGAGCTAGAGCTTCGCGGAAAAAACGAGCGTGTTGCCCGTGACGAGAGGAAGCCGATGATACCCAATTTTAAGGTCCTAGGTCATTGGTTGACCTTCCAGGTCAGGTCAATGACCCAAAGTCGGGAAAATCGGGACCTGTTATAAAATCGTAAAGTGTGGCTGCTAAGGGGTTTTTCGGGGTGCTGATCACGAATATCGTGTTAGTTTTGATCACAGATGATGTCTTGAAGCATTTAGACCAGGTCGGGTCAGGTCAGGTCAGGTCAACCAGTAGGCGTCGTGACGGGTATTCGTAGTACGTGTCAACCGCCTCTGACAGCTTCGTAACATGTTACGAAGGCACCAAAACTACTTCGTAAATGTTCAAATGGTTGCTAAATTCGAATTCAGCTCCAAAAACTAGCCTAGAAACATGTAAAACTCGAAAAAGTGAACCGAGGTCACCCGAGGTCACCAAAGGTCAATGACCTGACCTGACCTTCAGGTGACCTTGACACACACGGGAGTAACATCATATCACATGTTTGAACGTTTGAAACCACGAAAAGCTTGCAAACACGCGGCTAGTGCGAGCCGACATACGCGAAATCGCGATTCCGGCCAAACATGGTCTCGGAAAAGAGGTCACAGGTCAAAGGTCATTTGGGTCAGGGTCATGAAATTTTCAGGGTAGGTGTCAAATTGATCAATGCGAGGGTACTGAAAGTTTCGTCGCGATCGGCCGCTTTTTACGCGAGTTATTCGCGAAAAACCATGGGGGGGGTCCATCCGACCCCCCCCCCTACAGATGCGAGGGTTAATGTTAAATGTTAATGTTATGTTTGTTAATGTTATGTTATGTTTGTTGATGTTATGTTATGTTTGTTACTGTAATGTCAATGTTTAATGTTAATTTTTAATGTTTAATGAAATTACCCTTTTTTCTTCTTCATTTCTTACCTCCTTCGCTCATTTTCTTCTCTTTTCCCCTGGCAATGCTCAGTTGAACCCGCGCCCCGCTGGCTGCCCCCCCCCCCCCCTCCCGTTTTTCGCTAATAACTTCTCAACGCGTTACGCCAGCGACGTCAAACTTTCAGTACCTTATCATACATCAATTTGACACGTTCCCGGAAAATCTGAGTGAAATCCGTCGGAAAATTTTGGAGAAATTGACGTTTTAGTGACGTCATGTTCGCCATTTTCGCCTCAAAAACGGCAAAATTTCAAACGCCGCTAACATCTTCATTTTTGAACGAATTAACCCTATTCCTGGCGGGGGGCCTCAGGAGCCCCCCCCCCCCTGAGGTTTTTTGGTTATTTCTCCCAAACGCGTTGAGCTAGGAAGCTCAAATTTTCTGACTTTTCCTAAAAGGCTTCTACGCAACATGTCTGAAAATTTTGAGTTGATCTGACCTCAGGTCAGGTCACCAGAGGCGGTTTGGTGACCCTACCTCAGAAAAGTTTGCAATCACGCCAGAGCTAGAGTTTTTGACCGATCAATTTCTTCTCTTCAGGGTGTAGTAAGGGTACCAGTATGTGCAATTTGTATATCTCGGAATTTTGATATCGGTGACCTAAGGTCAGGTCAATTTCGCGACCTCCCCATTATAAGTCAATGGGGGAAAAATCAACTCCCTGTTTTTACCACTAAAACGGGTCGGAATGGCCCCATATACCATACATGACTTCATATACGATCAACCTTCACTACCTTGAGGTCTGTTTTGCTGTTGGGCAGCTGTGAGGTCATGTGACGTCATCAAAGGTCACCAAAGGTTTTTGGCCAATAACTCCGTACAGGAACAAGATACAGACGCGTTGATGGTCTCATTGTGTTCAGCTGCGTATTTACAAATTGCAACCGAGCTCCGCCGTAGGGTATTTTATTTCCGCCGTAGTGTATTTCACTTGGGGTATTTTCTACCATACATTTGCCTGAGCTTGGGGTAATTACAATTTCTCGGCGACGTTCGAAAATGATGCACCTTTTTTCGCAGTATAGGTTATTGCATGTGCGTATTTTTGCCTTTTTGGTTGCGCTTTTCCCTCGCCCGTATAGGGGGAGGCATTGAACGGACCCCATCGGTTTTTCGTGAGTAACTCGCGTAAAAACCGTCCGATCGCGACGAAACTTTCAATACTCCCGATTTTATCAATTTTACACATACCCCGAAAATTTCATGACCCTGACCCAAATGACCTTTGACCTGTGACCTATTTCTCGAGACCATGTTTGGCCCGAATCGCGATTCGGCGTATGTCGGCTCGCATTAGTCGCGCGTTTGCAGTCTTTACGTGGTTTCAAGCGTTGAAACATGTGATATGATGCTGGTCCTATGCATTAGGGTGGGTGTCAAGGTCACCTGAAGGTCAGGTCAGCTCAATGACCTTTGATGACCTCAGTTCACTTTTTCAAGTTTTGCATGTTTCTAGGCTAGTTTTTGGAGCTGATTTCGAATTTAGCAACCATTTGAACATTACAGGGGTTGTAAAGAAATTATCCCCGGACACCTTTCTTCCCACTGTAATCAAAAAGCAAAACATTCTGGTACTTTTTCTTTTAACTGAGCATGTAGCCACCTTTCATAAAAACACAGTGGCGAATGTTCTGGAGCATTTCAGCCGCTGGATTCTCCAGCACACTGGCATGCGGACCAACGCCGTCTAAACAAACCTGTGCC